TTATTTATATATAATTTCTTAAGCAATTAAGTGCGTCTTTCTTTGTTTGTTTTTGTGTGTAATTGTTTAAGCAATTAAGCGTGCCTTTCTATGCCAATGATTGAATTTCATTTTTCTCACAATATACAAGTATGTTTGTCAACCGCCTGAGAACATATGCCTTAAATGCCAAATCTCCATATAACCGGCTCAAGACTACACTATTCTTACTTGGTTAATAAGTAGCTCTAAAAAAGGTCCCCAACATAAATCCGAAATATTGTATATTTCTTATATCTTAGAAAAAGAAAACAGTTTAAATCATATTGCTTAGCATTTTCATTAAAGTATAGTTCCCATGTTGTGAATTATGTCAAGGTATAGAATAAGATATTTAGTGACTAAATTTGATCACACATGGATTCTTAAAAAGAAATACAATGCAAATCAAACCATCGTCAATTTTATAAAAATGAAAAACAAAAATGTTCAATATTGAAAATCGAACTTAAAGCGGGTCAAGAATTTTAAAGCTATGCATAATTTTGAATTGATTTGGGATACACAATTTACATTATTTCTATTGCTGTATATAAAGTTATAAGGTTGAACAAGAAACCGAATTATGTCGTGCACCATAATAGCAAATTTTAATTGACTCTGATCTATCTACCCTCTTATTTAAAGGGTATAACAACAAGCCCTTCACTTGGCTCTGCAAATCCAAGCTGTTCAAATAACTTTTATATCTCCCGCTTACTTCACACGAATATTAACATACTCGGGCACGTACATATAGTATGTATCTTAATAATGCCCCTGCTGTTCATTTGTAGACCCGTAATTTTTTCCAGCGATGACTTCATTTGACTAAAAGTAAAAATATAGAAATGCCAAAATAGCAAACTAAACATAACTACCAACAAAAGGCAAACACGAAGAGCAACAAAGCCATTTATCAAAAGTGACGCCAGAATCTTATCAAATCCAGTCTCACTCAAAAGTTTGAGTTGTTTTGAGTGGAAATGGTGGGCACATATGGAAAAGCTCGAAAGGGGGAGCTTTTTTGGCTTTAAAGACGACGCACCGCCGTCAACAGACGATTAACTGCCGTCGTCAAAACAGTCTCCCAGACAATAAAAGAAAAACAAACTTTTATGTACATAGTATCTCGCGTCAAAGCAACGAAATGGAAAACGATGCGTGAAAATTGACAACAAGCAGTGCTCAGAGGCCTTTATTTCCACACGCAACATGGCCAACAAGTGTTGGTATTTATAGAGCCCTGTACTCATTGGCTGGGCGTGCGCCGAAACGTCAATTGAACTCCCCTTCGTAGGTTCCACTACTTGTAGGTAGTTGAGCGTCGGAGCATGAGCTCATAGTGGACCCTACTTTACATCTGCCTAAATATGTAAATGAGTGTGACTATTGTAGATTTGAGTGCCGATTAGCAAATGCCAGCGAAAAGAAGGCAGCTCTGATATACAAGTATTTGGTATACAAATGAGTTTTTTGAACCTACAAGTGTCTCGTCATCCTACCCAGGAAATGAAGATTGAGTTATTGCTGGCATTTAGAAGTGGATAACGCCATTTAAGTTACAATGAGAAGACAAAGTTGTTAGCAATGTAGATTTCATTTAATATGCAGAAGGAGATGGGAGAAAGATGGACATACAAGGGAGTTTTTAATTAATCATTCATTTTTTTAAGTTATACTCACAAAAAGAAATTTCATTTAATAGGCGGTAGAAAATATGCGAAATGCCACACACAGGATATTTATGCAAAAACAAAATTTCATTGAGATTTTTAGCATTACGAGAAATGAGGACGCGCACAACCAATTTTCAGAAAACGTACATATTCTCATATACAGAAATATAATAGTTTTTTTTTTTAATTACGCTTGTCCGATCTATAACCATAAATAAATATACGACTTATATGTACACATTATGAATCGAAAAATTTATTTTACGGTGTTAAATGATAAGATAGTTCATACCCTGCAGTTTTAAAAATCACAATTCTATACTTTTAACTGGTTACTCTACTAGTACATTGGGAAAGTAGTTAATTGTTTTAATTTTATATTATAAACCACTTCAATTCAGAATTTGTAGGTAATATTTTAAAGATAACGTATATGAACTATTGAATTGACAAGGTCTTGATTCTTCTCAAAATTATATGAGACTTCTTAGCAGAAAATTAAACTATTTATTTTAAGATTTTGGGACTAATATTTTATACTCAATACAACGCATGTAATAATTTAGGGTTGGAAAGTGGTTTATACATTCAACCATCTTATAGTTCGGGAAAAGGCTACCAATTTTTTTTTAAGTTAAGCTAACTTCCCAAAATTATAATGTAAAAAGTTTCTTTTGGCAATTCTACAGCATTGAAATGCAATTTCTCTATTAGCGTGAAGTGGAACTGTAGGTGAGTATCGCCAAGCAACACATTCAAACAACGAATTAGTTTGTGGTTGGCTGTCCGATAATTTGTTTTGTTTGTTTTGCTTTTTTGTTCCAGCAACTCGATGGCGTCATAGCCAAAGGCAAACAATAAAGCAAAAGCTGGTAATAAAGCCAGCTAAGCCGTCATTCGAAAAGTAGGTGTGTGCCTTTAGTGCAGTAAAAGATATGAGTGTAGGGACTATAAATACTGGATTGCGGACTCTAATTAGCTCCGAGATCAGAGCCAGTAACGTGGGCTGTTAACACATTCTAGGCCAGTTGGTGACTTTGCCGTTTTTTATGCAGAAGCAGAACTCCAGGAATTTGCTAAACAAACAACAAATGGCAGTAAGTTGGTAAGATGGAGTAATCAGGCTGTAGGTGCCAAAGAATCTAAAGTGAGTTGTCGACATCGCACACTCTTGGTCAAAACAAGCACATGGCTAACAAGATCGTTAAAAAGGCTAGCTGCAAAAGTTATGGCATGCAGTGGCAATCAAGTGACAAGCGTTGAGAGAAAGAATAGCACATTGATTACAACTAAGTGGCAGTTCTTTCCCTCTCGACTGACGACTGGCTGGGCTAACATTAAAATGCACTTATCGCCAGAGGTCTGGACAGAGGGGCCACAGCGTTCAAGGCCGCACGCCTCTCTTCTGGCCATTATTTTGGCACAGCCTCGCCAACCCATTTCTGTATCAATCCTAATCAGGTTGGCTTAAGCTTAAGCGCACAGACGATTTACAGTAAAGATAAACGCTGGCTAAAAATACGCGAAGTACGCAAGTAATGCGTGGAGCGATAAAACGAACAAAAAAGACATAAAAATCTTGTAACTGCACATACCAAAAGTTTTTTTCACAACCACACACACACACACCGCCTCGATCGGGCCAAATGTGGCCCTTGGCCTTCATTCACCTTGAAAAGTTGTGGCTGCCGTTGAATGCCTCCGTTGCATGTTGCACGTTGTGGCCTGTTGGGTTTCGCCTTTTGCCTGATGCCGTTTTGTAGGGCCAGATACTGGTACGAATAAATCGCACAAAACGTTGCCTGAATTCACAAATCGAACCACTGACCAGCCAACAAAAGAGAAAAAAAAACGGACACCGGCAACAACAAAAAAGAATTGCATATCAATTACATGGCCGTCTCTGTCCATGAGGGAATTTGGTCTTCGCCACAGTGAAAGGCGTTTCCGCATCTGTAGACTGAGTTCTCTTGCCGCTTTGATAAAAACATAGGATAAGCTTTTTTTCCATTTTTTAGTTAACTGTGTCAAAAGAATTCTGGCGCCAATCTTTGTTGAGAACTCTTTTGTGCTAATTTAACAACTGGTTTCTCCTCCTAACTATTGTTTTACGAATATGTATATTACTTATATTACCAAATTAAATTTGCCCCACATATATGTTTGTTTTGAATGATCTTGTAGAATTGGTTAGAGTTTAATTCAAAACGAACCTTAACCAAACCATTATCAAACGGCATGCTCTCTCTTTCTCTCGCAACATTACAACAAATCAATCAGTTAATCTTTTATATAAACTAAAAGTTGTGTATTCAACGTAAAGTTTTAAAAGGCCTTTAAGCAGCAATTTTGAAAACTACAATTTGAATGCGAAAGAGGAATCGAGTTTTTGAGAGTATCTTATTAATACTTCAGTAAAGGGAAGAGCAAAGCTTTCAACTCTTGTACTCATTAGAAATTCAGCACATCAGTGAGTCTTCAATACATTAATATTATGCTAAAGATTTTCACGGTTTTTGAATGGCCTAGAAACATGCATTTGACGGAAAGTATTTCATTGAATTTTGAATTGAAGTTTATAATTATTTGATCAAATTTGAAACGAAACGAAATCGAAACTGTCTTCTTCTGTACTTTTTAAAAGCCATATTTCAATCATACTTATATATATATATATAATGTGATTAGATTTAAAAAGAGCAGCCCTACTTTGAGTTATGTGTGACGCCTATTCAAGGGACGTTTTCAAAGGAGGTAATGATCAAAGAATTTCGCTATAATGATGAGTTCTTCTGCAATTAAGTTTGCAACTCTTCCACCCTCCTGTTTCTTCAGAATTCGACTCCACTCTGACGAATATTAGCTTTAATAGTGATTGCGTTCTGTCAGCCTGATCCTTGTCATTAAGCCAAATGCAATATCCACTCCACTGCGCCAATTAAGCCAAATTGACACTTGTGTTGTAGTTGATGTTACCACATTTTATGCGCGCTGACAGGCTGGCCAGCAAGCCCGGCTGACTGTTAACGATGGCAACGATACAAGTCGACAGAAAAGTGAAGTCAGTGCAGAGCTCAGATCGCCGCTGGGTTTATTTTCATGTCACACACTCACACACCTTAACATGGAGTGATACGTTCGGCGCAGGAAACAAGAACTAGAACAAGAATAATAATATGAAAACGAGGGAGAATGGAGCTGCTTGATGGGTATAAAAGGACGCGATTGGTGCCTAAGCGTCATCAGAACCCATCGAGGCGAGTGTCTATGCACAAGTAGAGCAGCAAGCAAACATACATCATGATGAGACCACAGCTGATTGTCCTGGTGGCCCTGTGCGTTGCAGCCAATGGTCTGGCCCTCTATGGATCACCCGCTCTTTTACGAACCTATCCATACATTTATACGGCGACGGGATCCTCGCTGGCCACGCCCACCCAACAGCAGTACCTCTCACAGGATCAATTGGGTCAGTATGCCTATGGCTATGTGGAGCCTTTATCCAGCAAACAGGAGTCACGTTCTATTGACGGCATCACTCGCGGGTCGTACAGCTATCGCGATGCCACCGGCCAGCTCCAGACCGTCGATTACACAGCCGACGAGGCCGGTTTCCATGTGGCCGCCACCAACTTGCCGCAACAATTTCGCAGTACAGCGCCCGCATCGTCAGCAACGACAGCTGATGAGTCCGCCACCAATCTCATTTCCAATACAGGTGCCTCTACTTCCCAGCTTCCAGCTGATACCGTCCAGGTTGCCGCCGCCCGCCAGAGCCATTTGGCGGCTCATGAGGAGGCTCGCCTGCGCCTGGCGTCGCATCGGCACGATCAGCACGTTCAGCCAAATGTACGCCTTCTGGAGGTGCCTCATCCCGTTGCCGACACTGCCGAGGTTGCCGCTGCCAAATCCGTTCACCTGAAGCGCGTCGAGGCGGAGAAGCTGCGCAACGAGCTGCTCGGCCCCCACAGCTCCTACATAGTGCCCAACGTCTACAGCTATAGCATTCCACGCTACTACACCTCCGGCTTCTACTACTGACCAGCGCCAGAGGGCCCATACAGAAGCAACAACATTTGCACAATTTCATAATACAGTGCCAATTTAATTTGCTCAGACTACACTCATATCCATTGCTCTCAATAGTGGAGCTGTCTTTAAGAACCGATATCATCATTCTCTGAATTACTTCAAGATTGCAAATAAAAGGATTACTTATGCGTATACTTTCTCAATCAAAATTGGTGTTACTTCAGTCCTATTTCAATAGTTGGGTTCTAGAACCAAACAAAGATCAAAAACTTACTTGTACAACATTTCGATTTGGCTGACTATTTGATTGATGACGAGGCGAGACATAGCTAGTTTTATACAATTTTCATATTTGGAACTGATTCTGTATATAAGTACTATTATAAGTCTACTTTGGCTTATCGCTTCACGCTCTCCTAAGGATGGGGACATGAGGTCCATAAGCAAATACATGTGCTAGCAATATGGATATTTTACCAGCCCAACTCAAAATCCTAAGAATCATTACTGCTGCACCGGTAAAAGCCAATATAGCACAAATAAGTTATGGATATGTCCTTTATATTGAAAAACAGCAACTGATGATCGTTTATGTTCTGCCACAGAAAATGTCACATTTGCAAATGGGGGAAGACTCTGTAGCTTGATTTTAATATTGGCTGGACTAAAACTATATAAAAACCCATAACTAAATCTATGGCTTCAATTAATTTTTTTGTGGTTTAAAGAAGATTGCACTGTTGATTTTATAGATGAAATTATAGAATATATTTATTATACTCTTTTTTCAAATTGCAAGAAATGCCTAAATCTTAATTAATGCATCACAGTTTAAAACTATATATTATCACCTGAGATATGAATACGTACATATTTGCAAGTCTATAGTGTAGCTCAAAAAACAAGTAAACTTGGCAAAGAAAATAATTGAATAATAATCATTTACTTACTTGTGAGGAATCTAAATTGATAAATTTTCCTTCATTCGAACAATGGTTATAGTATAGTCAGACTCGCTTCAAGCGTATACTTTTGAAAAACCGGTTAGTGGCTTGCATCTAATTTTAACTAAATAATTAAGATAAATTATTAGCAATAAAAGCCGTTTTTTCCATTTCTTGAGTCATGTGCGGGCTATCCTTTTTGGCTTGACATTGGCCAACACATTTCATAAATGCAATGCTAATTTTGAATTCAATTAATTTTAATAACAACATAAACAACAACTAAAGTGGACAAGGGCTGCCGTCGTTCCTTGACCCCAAGCCACAAGCCACAAGCTACAAGCCACAAGCCGCAAGCTTGGCTGTCAACTGGCAGCGGGCCAGATTAAGTTCTTCACCCGATGTCTCTGTCGCTGTTGGAGCCATCGCCAATGTTGTTGTTGTTTTGTTGCTGCCAATGGTGCTGCTGCTGCCACTGACAGATGAAAACAAATTGCGGCTTTTGTGTAAAAATTTATGCTCAACTTGTTGAAATTGAGAAAATATTTATGTATAAACAGTGGAAGTGGAAGAGGAGCCTCAGCTCACGTGCAACAGCAACCAGATGTAAAGGCACAGGAAATATGAAAGTAAACCGGATGACCTTCCGAAGAACTCACGAAAATGCACATTTTGCATTTTCGGCAACCGACAGAGGATCTGCTGCTGGTCGCAGTATAAAAAGAAGAATGCCTACGAAAATGCAACACAGAGTTCTCTAGAGCGAGTACTAGTCGACTAGCACTAGTAGCGCCCCCGAAACAAAAAGGACATCACCCCGAAAATGCTGGCACTTCCACTAACACTTCTCCTAAGCGGCGCCGTATTGTCAAACATTGCGGGCACCACCCTGGCCAGCGGCGGCTACGAGTACCACGCACCTCAGCTGCAGTATGGAGCGGTCCCTGCAACCGCCAACATTGTTCAGTATCACGAGCAGGACGCACACGGACAATACACCTATGGGTATACAGCACCACTGCACTCCAAGCACGAGACACGCACTCTCGATGGGATTACTCGCGGCACCTACTCCTACATCGATGCAGCGGGTCAGCTGCAAACTGTGGACTACACTGCCGACGCGACGGGATTTCGGGTGGCTGCAACAAACCTACCGAGCAGCGGGCATTTAAAGCCCAACGAGGAAACACCCGAGGTGGCCGCACTACGGGCCCAACATCTGGAAGCGCATGCGCAGGCAAAGCTGCGTCTGGCCGGCGGCTCCTCACTGTCCGACATTCTGCCGCAACCTGTGCAGGATACACCCGAAGTGGCAGCCGCTAAGGTGGCATTCTTCAAGCGTTTCGAAGTGGAGAAGCTGCGCAATCAGCTCCTTAGCCATCAGCAACCACAGAATCTGCCGAGCTTCAAAATATTGTCTCAACCGATTTACGTTAAAACCCCACCAGTCAGCGGTTTCGTCTACAACTACAAATTACAGGCACCAAATCGAGAATATTTGCCAGTAGCCTAGGCAGCTGCAAATATAAAATTCATAATTTTTCTGTTTGTTGAGTAATAAATGATAAAAGTAATTGCATTTTAAATTGCAAAACAAAGTTACAAAACGAAGAATAAGTTTGGTTGGGCTAAGATTTTCTAATTTCAACTCAGTTTAAATATCTAAGTTTGAGCATTATGGAGCAAACTAGTTAGGGTGTTAAATAGGTTGAAGGTTAATTCTTCTTATCCTTCTTGTTTACAACTTGGGATATACATATTTATGTGAATAAGACAAAACACCTACCTTTCATCGTCACAGTTTGAATTAAGGCATATTTTCTAAAATTTTAAAATTAAAGCACAAGACAGAACGCTGATCCAGGTCTACAAGCCTGCGGGGTTGTTTCCTTATTGTAGTCTTAGCCAACACCAATATAGCTATTATAAACTAGGCCAGGATTAAAAGCTTTGTCTCAAACCCAATTCCGATTGTCCTCTCCACTTGCTCCAGAGTTCACAGAGTTAAGCTGTAGTGGGATATAAAAAATATAACATTTTTATGAGCAACGATAAAAAGGTTGTTCATTTAATGCAACCGCCTTATCTATCTTTTGCTTATCATACTATGCTATATAGTATGTAGAGCGATGGCCTAGCTCTTAGACTTTGCAGTCCCAGTAATGAGATCAAGTTTGTTGCAGAGTTGAAGTTTCACACATACTCGTACCTATCTCATAACCATTAGGAGCTCACAACTTTGTAGAGCACAGTTGTGCACAGACTGCATTTATTCTTACGATTTCTAATCGAACACTATAGTACAGCAATACAAATGATCATCAACCTTTGCTCGAACTCAGTTCTTCTGCTCCCCATTGTTCAGTCGCTGCTTCAGTAGACTGCGGCTCAATGCAATGGGCAAGCTGTTGCCTGTACTTCCTAGGTTAAGACGCAGAGTCCTCAATTCCGTGGGTGTGCTTACACTATACTTGGTGGTGGGCGTAAGCAATGTGTAAACAGCACTCACTGGAACCCGCAGACGTCTGTCATCCGTGCGTTGTGTTTTGGGAGCAACCTCCAGAATTTGTCCAGCTGCCAAATCGCCCAGCTTCAAGTAACTGCTGGAACTTATGTCGGCGAGTGTGTAGACAGTCCGGAGACTGCCTGGTAGATCGACATCGTTGCCGGCACTTATCAGAGTCAACCGCTGTCGTGCAGCAGCAATGTCCGCTTCCGCATCAGCATCGACTTCAGTCTTCTGGTCTTCCTCAATTTTGGCATCAATGTCTTCGCTTCCAATGGCCTGATCGTCCTCAAGCGGTCGCTGCTCATTGCGCGCTAGCTGATCTGCGAGCATGGCAGTTAATTCAGCACGCACACGCACCAATATCTGTTCGTCCTCCTCGCTGAGACTCTCTTCTTCAAATGAGGTCGGCTGCGGTTGTCTTGCATTCTTTAAGTTCGTGTTGCCGTTTACGTTAACGCGTGCATCTCTCTCGGCCTCTTCACGCAAGCTTGCTTCGAGTGCTTCTGCTTCACGCAAGGCATTGAGCTGCGCCTCACGCGCCTGCTGTACCTCCAACGTCTCCTGCACGGGTTCAGGTGCCTTTCGATCGTCCACCGGTGCTTTTGGCAAGTTAGTGGCTTCTGCCTTGAAGCCTTGCTTGCGGCCTGCCTCATACTTTACTGTCTGCAACTTTCCATTAGCATCTACGTAGGAATAAAAGCCCCGGGAAGTGCCGTCGCGGCCTATATACTCCGCCTTTGCAGCCGTGTCATCGCTGTAGCCGTAGGAGTAAAAGGCTCGTGCCGTGTCCCGCTCCAGATAGTCACGTCGGAGGGGTTGAACTAACTTTCGAGGGGGGGTCCTGAGAGGAGGTAGGCGCGGACCTGAGTCAAGAAGGGGTCGCTGGTTCAGCTGCTGCTGCACAATCGTGGACGCAGCCACGCTCAGCAATGCGGCAACCATTGCCCAGATGAAATAGTCCATCCTTTAGAGTAGTTGGGCTTGCTATCTTTCCGATTGAACTAATGTCGAAACGATCAGGTCGTGCCTATTTATATCACACCAGCTCCAGCTTCATGGTAATATGAGACGCGCCTAAAGTCTGCATAATGACCTCGAAATCGGGCTAGGGCTTGTGGCGCCTCTGGGCGGCGGTCCGATCGACTTACAGTGGCTTTAATTCGCTTGTGACTTCTTTTCCTCTACCGCAAAGATGTTGTAATAGTGAACTTAATATTAATATTTGCTGCAAACGATATGAATGCAGCAGTAACTGCAAATTGTTATTGCGAAGCCTGCAACTCGTATGCAGAAGCAGTTTTGCTGCTAATTTCGACCATTTCAGTTATCAAGTTACTCTTAGGGTTATACTTGTAAGTGTTCATTTCCTTAGACACATCATTCATCCCTTGAAAGGCAAAAAGTTATCTCAAGCTGTAGAGTAGTTTATCTCTGAGTTAAAATAATGTATAATTTGATATACTTGTATTCTATACTAATGTTCTTCTGCTTCTTTCGTTCCCAAGGGGGTTCTTCTAGTAAGTACTAGTGTACGTTGCATGATGCAAAAATTAAGTCTTATTCTAGCGACAAAACAGGATCTTTTTTAATCGCCTTCAACCTTCATACTTAATAGGATTAAGATCACAAGGTCAAAAGACTGTACTTACAAAAATTCCCTCAAAGTTGCTGAAGAAACAATTGAAAATCAATGAGGGATTTTGGAAACTGTTTTGGATTTACATAAGATAGAAAGACTGCCATTTTAATCTCACTAACTCACATGTTGAACACAATGTGGAACGAAAGTGCTTAGCTTATACAAGTGCTCACATAAAAAACGTTTACTACCTAAAAAATTATAGCCAGTGACGTTATACAATCGTTTTGCATGTTTAATTTTATTGCAAATGATTAAGGAACCCCATAACCGAATAATGATGTAAAAACCGCCAACTCTGTAGATGTTCTTAAATAACAGCTTGCGAGTACAATTCTCCCGCGATCTCTTTCTCTCTCTCCCTCTCTCGAAAGCTTTGGTGTGTGCTCAGCAAGCTCACCCCACTTATGAGAGCAGCATGTTATCAGTTTGGTTGGAATAGCCAGATGCAGATATTGCCTTGGGGGCCAACGTTCAGTTAAAATTCTAACGTCGAGCGAGACGCCAACGAAAACGGTTAAAAAGTTTAAAAAAAAAAAAAAATAGTTAGAGTTCTGCTAATTGGATATGGACTTGGCTGGCAAAAATGTGGTTTACCTCGGCGGTTTCGGCGGCATAGGCCAAAGAAGCGTGCCGGAGCTACTGGAGCGCCAAGTAAAGGTATATGTTGTAATAATTAGACTGTATTTTGGATACCATACTAATCTAGTTTTGCCGCAAATCGCTAGACGCTGGCCATTTTCGATTTGAATGAGAATTTAAGCCTGCTGGGCGGCTGGCAAGCCACTTATAAAAATGTCAACATCTTCTACCAAAAAATGGACATAACCAAAAAGACGGAGATAGAGGCGGCTTATAAATCGACTATTCAACGTGTTGGCCACATCGATTTGGTTGTTAATGGCTGCGGACTAATGAACGATCGGTCGCCTGAGTTATGCATCCAAATTAATTTGGTAGGTGTACGCAGATATCGGATATACAATTTGTTTATGTATAGTATGTAATTGAATTTTCTTCCATCTTCGATAGATGGGCGTAATTAACAGCAGCTTGATAGCGCTGGAGCACATGGATAAGGCGCAGGGCGGCAAGGGAGGCCTAATTGTGAACTTCTCCTCGGTGGCGGGGCTTCAGCCAACACCTATGGTAGCCATCTATTCGACTGCCAAATCAGGTGTAACCACATTTACGCGTGCATTAGGGGTAAGTATAAACCATCCATACAAATATGAGACCGAAAATTTATATACTTGTATACATAGATTTCACGCTTACAGGAGTTAAAAGCATTTAATTTTCAATACCTTAGAAAATTTCCTAAATCTGGGCCGATTAGAGCCTGTTATGAACAACTTTTTGACTCATTTTCCAAATAAATGAAAGCCTTGCCACAGGACCCCTTTAATCGTTTAAAAAAGTTGCAAGCATTATGAATTGTGATGAAAATTTTTGTTCCTCTAAAATTCCATATTCTAAGACTGGTAATTCTTGTGACTAATATATGTGAAAATTTAATTATCACAATATACCAGATTGGTCAACAAAATGAGCTACCAAGTTCGTGTAATAATTTTATGTTATTGAACAAGTAGTTTAGTTCATCAACGTTTAAAACGTGGCTAAAACAATCTTCCTCGCTTCTTGATTGAACAAAATTTGGATTCTTGAAACTATCCTGAATTCTAACACTGTTATTTTTAAGTTTTTCAAAGTTAGTTAGTTACTCTTTGTTGAATTGCAAGAAATTTATATTAACAACTCTCTTTTAACTGTCCGATTCTGCCATCTTTTGCAGAATCCCTTCTACTATGCACACAGTGGAGTGGGTTTTATCACCGTTTGCCCGGGCTTCACAGACACGCCTCTGCTGGATGATATTGCCAATAAGACCACGTTCCTTTACTCGACACCCATGAATGATGCGTATGCAAAGGCTAAAAAGCAGAGTCCCGAGGAGTGTGCTCGTAATTTAATAAGGGTCATTGAACAGGGGAAGAATGGTGAGGTTTGGATACTTGACCTTGGCGAAATGAAACAGGTAATAGCATACTTGTATATAAATATCTACTTATTTGCAAATTATTGATACATTTTCGCATTATGGCAGGCGAACTTTTCGGAATTATGGCATCCTGTATTGGAGGATTAGTAAATGATCAACTGGATCTGAATCTGAGTTGTGCAATATATGAACATAACTATGTACTTATATAATTTTTTGTTCAATAAATATCAAAGTCGTTGTTGCAAATCAAGTTAAACAAAAATTATGTGACGCTGTTATTGTTGTTGTCAGACCACAGGATGCGGATTGAATTACGAGCTTTGCAACCGCATTAAATGTAATCGGCCACATACGTTATACATATGTATAAGATATATACATACATACATATATGTATGTACTTCACTAACACAAGCGATTATCAATTCAGTTGCTTGTGATGGACCAAGAACTGCTAGAAAGCAAACTTTACAAAAACATTAAACTTGAAATCATAAATGCGAATGCTTTATCAAATATATGATATAGTGCGAGGATTTTAAATAAAGTTTGAAATAAGGTGGGCTATTCTTGCGATGGCAGCGTTAAATTGTTTGTAATATCCGTGGTGGGCGTATTAATAATATTTCCCTACCTATAATTTTATCACTTCATTATGAACACGTTATCATATCATCTTATAATCATCTCACCATCACCAAAAAAGTATTTTTTGATGAAAATACAGCAGGTTTTAAATATAGTATGAAACCTCCATTTGCTTAGTATTTGTTCTTATAACTTTCTATTCATGGCACCACTTCTCAATTTCCCCAAATAAGAAGCCCCAATAAGAAGATTTGTACCCAGGCGAGTCTCCAGTATAAGAGGCATTATAGTAATACAATTTATTTTTGAGAAACTTGATTAGTGAAAAGAACTCATCTGCAGCACTCTGCAGACCTTCATCGAAAGCCCATCGCGAAATACACAAGAACCGATTATGAAATGCTCATCCTTTTATTTACAAAATACTAGCTTACATCTGCCAATGCATCTGCGGCATCGCCTCCTTCAGCTGACCCATATTAACAATCCACATGCTGCCATTCTTCATCATCTCCATTGCTTTCAGCATTTGCATCGCAGCCTCTTCAGGCATTTGACGCTTCGCACTCTCGATGGCCTCCACCAGCTCCTCGGAATGGTGCCAGGTGACATTCTCGCGCAGGTTCATCATCATTTCAGTGTTGGTGAGACCGGGACACATGGCCATAAACATTACGCCGGTCTTTTGGTAAATAGCCTTGTCTGCCATGGACCGAGTGAAACCTAGAACTCCATGCTTGGCAGCTGCATAGACAGCAAAAGCTGGTGCCGGCTCCAAGCCATAGACTGAAGCCATGTTCACAACCATGCCACCCTGTCCCATCTGTGTCTTATCCATATACGGCATGGCCATCATAGTCATCTGGATCAAGCCCATCTGTGGAGGGTCATTAGCGTTGTAGGAAGGGGGGGGAGTGACATTGCAGGTTTTGACAACTCACCAAATTAATACCAATTGTCTGTTCCACATCCTTGTCGGCCAGCACATCCATGCCATTAATGAGAACATCAATATGTCCCATCGTCTGACCAATCTTCTTCATCGCCTGCTCTATGGACGATTTCTCCATGAGATTCATTTGCATGAACATAAGCTTGACACTGGGGTTCTCCGCCTGTAGCTTCTTCATCATCTCTACGTTTTCCATGCGGCTTGCAATGATCATCATTTTTAGTTTTTTCTGCATCAACAGATGCATCATCTGGAAGCCAACGCCGCTGAAGCTGCCGGCATAAACCACATTCTTATTTGTCCAGTCGTACATCTTAATGCTGTTCTGTGGGCTTCTCTCTGTCTGTGCTTGACCACCGAATGGGATTTAATGCTTCTGCTGGCAATGCGACCGACTTTTATACCCATCGCGTTACACTCCAAGACTGTGTTGTCCAGATGTGCCGCCGAAAAACGCAGATAATGTTAATTTGTTTATTGCAATTTGCAAATAATAATCAATATAATGCATGTCCATCCCCAGTATCTGGCGAGAGATCAAGGGTTAAAGCACAATGCATTCATTCAAATCAAGCGATCAAGCGAGCTCGTCCAGCTGCTGTAGAGAAGATCGGACGTCTTTGCTAGATAAGCTTGGGTTCAAATCGAGCGAAATATGAGGCCAATCTATAGTAATTCCAGATGATACGAAGAATGCGTTGTCAAGGGGCTTAAGAAACTTTTACAAGTCATCATATAGATGGCTCAATCTCTGCAATAAGTTGCATCATATCTCAGTCTAAATATGAAAAACTCAACTCAATGGTCTAAGGTTGGGTATCAGACAAGTCGCAGATAAGATTTAGAATTTGTGTTCTTAAACAATTCGTATCATATTTCAATATATAAATGATATTATTCAACAATAGATTAAACTCAACGGATTAAAGTTGCTTGCAAGAAGGGTCAATGATGCGCAGTAGAATCTGATATTCCTGATGTGAAGAAAGCATTATCAGGTTTCTGAAACTTTTCAATTCATATCGCATATTAATCTATAAATGATATGAAAGGTTAGTTTAAAAACAAGACAAATGTGAGCTATAATCTAGATTCTAGAAGGTAGTGATGTCAGGTGGATATTGAACTTTTTGGAAGTAATCTCATTTCATCTCTCATGAAATAAGAACTCCTGCTCTACAAGTATACACATAAAATATTCAACTCAACGGTTTCACATGTTCGCCTTAAATTTTTATTGTTTTCTTTACTTATTTTTTTTTTCTTAATTCTTTTCTCACATTTACTTTTGTCTGCTCAAATATATATATTTATATATACTTTAATATGCGTTAATATTTAGCTGCAAATAAAGATTGTTGTTGTTTTTCTATTTTTATGTTTGTGTTTTCATTTTGTTGTAATCATTAATATTTTGTTAAGTGGTTTAATTAAGAATCCAAAACTAACAATAAATTTCATAATTTAATATTTGCTGCTTAAGTTTTTTTGTTGAATTTGATTTCTATGTTTCGGCGCACACTAAAAATGTTGCTAAGGATCAGGTTTACAATTAGTTCAGGGCTGACACTTAAATTTACAGCATTACACAAGGAGAAACAATTATTTATTGCAATATTCGCGCATTGGTTTGTGTGTGTATTATAGTATTCGGTGCTAAAAACAATTGCTGGCATGCCAATTGTACAATCTTCTAGTTCTTTAAAATGGAAAATTTGTAGTTACTTTTCTTTATTGTTCGTTCAAATGTTTACTTCAAGATTTGATATTTTTACAATTTCGCAGCGACATGTGCGAGTGTCTTTGAATGGTTTGTGTTTGTGTGTGTGTGTGTGTGTGTATGTGAGTATCTCTACATTCCTAAATATGTTTAGCTGATCATGAGAGTGCGCACATTACATTGAGATATTAATATATATTTATATAGAATTCGTATAGTACATACAATTACATAATTTAACATAAGTTATATAAGCGCGAGTGACGGCCGATCTTAAACACTCTTTGTGGCTGCTTAGATTCAGCTGCTACCAATATATGGTTTACCCTCTGCCTTGATTAAATTTGTGGAATTTGGCATAATGGTTGATATTTCGCTTTTCTTTCTTGGAGCTCCTCCAAGTCAACAACATAAAAAGAATTTATTAGTTCGTTCGAACTTTTGCATCTCTATGATTTGTGCTACTTTTTAGTAATTTGAATTTTGAAAGGTTGTTGGGATTTGATTTCGTTCCTTGGTTTGTTTAACATGCAGTCTGCCATCACTTTTCATCACTTTCGTGTTATAGTTCTTCTTCCAGTTCTTAATTGTGCTTACAAATTTAAACTACAATTTTAATTACAGCTAATAAAATGAAGAATTTCGAACAATTGCGCTTTAATTCGTTTTGTTTTTGTTTGCTATGGACAGTAAAATTCTGAGAATTTCAATTTGAAATTACACACACACTTTATTAATCATTATCATTAAATTTAAATCTTAATCTTTTTTGTATACGCCAGTTTTCTTGGGTTTTGTTTTGTTTTTGTTTTCCTCACATGCCCACCACTCTCTCCTGGACTTGTGTACAAATTTTGTTAAGCCTTTTTACAAATTTTTCGCCTTTTGATATATGTATGTATGTATAAACAGTGCTGCTGCTATTTACGTTTTATATATATTTTCTTTCATTTTCTTTTGTTTGCTTCAGCTTTAAAAAGTCCTTAAAAATTAAATTTAAATGCTAGTAAAACGCTTTGAATTTGTTGTTGTTGTTGTTGCTGTCGTTATTGTTGTTGTAGTCGCTACGCCCAAGGCAACGCGTGAGCGCACACACACAGGTAAATACAAAACGTACATACATACATACAAAGATGCAAATTTGCAAATATGTATGCTCAACTAGGGCACAAGCTGGCCTTTTCTTGTTTTCTTTTCTTTTCTTTTTAAGACATAAACATATGTATAGGTATGTATGATTATTAATTACGTTCGTTTTATTTGATAGGGGGAATTCATTCAATGGTTTGTATAATTTCTCGTGTACTTCATTTGCGACTCCTCTAATATTGGCTTTGTATGCAACTTTTGTAGACTTATCTTAATATATTTCTTCACATTTATTATACTAAATATATAAAGAGGTGTGTTTGTGTGTGTGTGTGTAGACTAATGCGCTTTTTCTTATCATTCGGCACCATTTACACAAAATCTATCCTATGGTTAACCGAAGGTCTACACATTGGGGGGCGTGGCTGGCGGCGATTGCGCGCAGGACGTCATAAGCGTATTACAACACAAGTAAAATTATACAGTTATATATTTATATGCTTTAAGATCCATAACTCGAAATTCCTGATGATAAGAGCGCGTTTGTCGTCGATCGGTCGGATAGGTCGGTCGGTCGGTTGGTTGATTTGTTGATTGATTTTTGCTTTCCGTTAGTAATTAGCGATGCGATGAGTAGGACAGTTTTTATTTTTGCTTTCATGCTTGTTGTTTAAAGTGGTAACGGACCACTCGTGGGGCATTATTGAGCTGTTAACATGATAGAAAAAAATTAATTAATTTAATTGAATTTAAATATCAAAATGATCTTTCCCGATTATACCGAGGGCTAACTTGTAAGCTCGTTTGTTACTATTTGATGGTGGTTGTTACTGCAAAAAGAATACTACTGCATCTTTCCCCAACACCATGCATTGATTGCAATTCTTTAATACATAAGGCTACTTACTATATATTCTACATAGTCCGAATGACAAAAATAAATTCTTTCAACTTAAAAGGAACGAACAAGACTTAAAATATACGACTAAGAAAATTCAGTTAAGCACTCACCAACGGCCGCCACTTGTTGCGTCTGCTCCGGCAGCATTGGCGTCGCTGTCTTCGTTGATGTCGCATTGCCAGTAGTAGCGGAATCCGTGTTGTTGGTGGCAGTGGCACCTGACGCATTGTTAGCTGCCTTTAACGCGGCGGCTGTGTTACTATTGGCATTACCATTACCATTGGTCACAGTATTCTGGCCGCGATTGCCACCGCCGCCGATGCCTCCATTGTTGTTCCGATTGTTGCTGCGATTGCGATAGTTGCCGCCACCCATGCGGTAGTTGTTGCGGTTGTAACCAGCATTACCGTAGCCAGAGTTCATGCCTCCGTTGCCACCTCCACCGCCCATGGTATTGCTGGTGTTATAGTAGTGGTTGCGTCCGCGATATCTGCAAGGTGTGAAATAATTAGAATACTAATCAACAAAAGACAAAGGAAATTTTTCCTTACCCGCCACGACGTGTCGAGGACACACCAAAGGTCTCCGTATTTAATTTGCGCTCCTGACGCCAATCATTCTTCTTGTTCTTGCTGCGATCCTGGGCAGCCTCGCATGAGATGTTGTCGAAGAATGATTTTGTCTTATCGTAGCCAACATGCACATCCTCATCCTCGGGTTCGTGCTCACCAGCGCCGGTCTCATTGCCAGAATCGTCTTTCTTATCTGTTTCACCATTCAACTGTGAACACAACGAACAAACAAAGAGTTAATGAATAAACATCAGGTAAGGAATCAGTCGATGTACATTTAAATGTGCCTATTAATGTTGTCGATATGGGATAGATGAAGTGTTAACTAATGTTTGAATTAGAACACTATAAATTATGACCTACCTCCATTTCTAATCTTATATATATAAAAGCTTAGTTAGCATGCATTCTAACGGAGTTTAAAAGTGTTTATTATATTCAAAAACACCTGATTATTTTTAATAGCAATATATCGCATTAGTTAACATTGGATATAATCAATTCCCTCTATGATCCAGAAAAATAAACAAGTCACAAGCAAGTCACAGGACTTCAAAAGATAGAGCCCTTCTATCCGAGATCGAAATTTCTACAAGTGTTAAAGTATTGTTTGTGTGTATGATTGTGTGTGTTGATACCGTAATTAAGCAAATGAGAATCCAAATTGATAATATTGTTACTTTTACTGTTATCCAAAAGGTTATTGAGGTATTTTATTGATCAACGGTGATGGTGGTGATGCACACTTATGGGACAAACACTGAGATGCCACAGGACAAAGACACGGGTGAAATCAGACAGAGCAAATGAAAACAAAACGTATACCTGCTCAGTATTGGTTGTTGTTGTAGATGTTGTTGTAGTAGTTGTTGTGGTTTTGTTGTTGGGTTCATCGCCCACCTTGAGTTTAGTCAGCTGTGAGCGGAGCTCCTCAAATTTATTGTTGGCCTGCTCAAAATCGAAATCACCCTCGAATTTAATCTTGTTACGAGGTTTATTTTGATTAGCCGACTGCGGACGAAAGCCCTGCTACAGAGGACAAGAGTTATGAGGTATTAGTACAGTATGGTCGGATAGAAAGGAATCACATAATCCTTACTTGATTTGAGCGCATGGGACCGCGGCCACCCATGCCTCGATTACGTATCATCATGTTGTTGGGATTCTGTGAACCACCACGATGCATATTCCAGGCGTTGTTGCCACCGCCGCCTCCGCCACCACCTCCTCCACCGACACCGCCGCGCTGTTGCATACCTCCGCCACCTCCGCGATTGCGCTGATTGTTATAATTGTTGTAGTTTTGCTCCATTTGGCGACCCGAGTCACGTCGATCACGCTGCTGCTGATGTTGCTGCTGTTGTTGTGGGTGATTGTAGAAGTCGTTGCTATGATTGTTACGTTGCTGAGGCATGTGGTTTGGTCCACCACGCTGCTGTTGTTGCTGTCCCTGCTGATGGTTCTGACGCTTATGTCCAGCATCGCGCCCATTACCACCATTGCCTCCACCCCCTCCGAGTGCATTTTGCTGCTGTTGCTGCATCTGCTGTTGTGGGGCCAACTCGGCCGTGGGACTAATCAGGCTAATGGGCGTCGTTGAACGCGAGGCACCGGCAAGCATTTCTAAAACAGAAACTTTGCGTATAGACAAAGCATATGCATATACATGCATTAGTGTGTGTTTGTGTGAATGTGTATGATACGTGATGGTGTTATACTTATCCTATTCTTTTTTAAATCACCACAAAAAGTTAAACGTTAAATTTACCTATTTATATACAAGTATAATAACTTAAAATGCAGAAATTATCCGTTTCGATAAAGCTTCAGTTTTCGACTGAATATTTTAATTCAAAAAGGTATCGTTTTATAGCCTGATGTTTGACGTGTAAAGTTAGGCAAAATAGATGACCCTGTTTCCTTTACAAATAACGAAATCTAACTATGCATATTGAATGAATCTTATATTGTTGAACTACGTTAAACGTTGTGTATATTTTATAGCTGGAAAACTCACCCTAATTAGTTTTAAAGTAGTGATACGATATTTATGCTTCGGAAAGGTGATGATCGTGTGCTAGATGGTTCATTAAGAAACTTACTTGGTTGTTTCTGCTGTTGCTGCTGCGACTTTGGCTGCTGCTGATTGCCAGTCATGTGCATAAAGGGGCCTACGCTGCCCGGTGCTCCTGCACCCGGCGCCAATGAGCTGGCACCGCCAGCATTGCCAGTCATGCTGGCCAGACCTGCTGCACCCAGACCAAAGGGATTTCCATATCCACCACCACCTGGTGCGCCAGGAGCAGCACCTCCCATCGATGGAGGAGCTCCATGCTGTTGCTGCTGTTGTTGCTGCTGCTGCGGCGCATTCATGCTGTTGGGCATAGGAAAATGCGGCGGCATAGCCTGGGGCGGTCCATTCTGCAGCTGCGCCTGCATTATTGCTGGATCAGTGTGATGGGGCATTGTATGGTTGTTTACCACGCGAATATCCTTAATGTCCGAGCCGCGGAATAGAATATAATCGTAAATTTGCGATTGCGGCGCAATTTGGAATTGGGTTTCTCGGTCCTCTGTCCCAAAGGAACGCACTGCATGGTAGAGGGAAGGGGGTAGAAGAAAGCATAGAAGAGTATTAGTTTAAGGTTAGGCACCAATTGGCCACAGATCTAATTTAACCTCAACAATTGAGCGGTAGAACGCATGGCGGCAACTTATTCTATTGTTTGCTCCTATTCATCCTCCTTAGGGGGGCCATGTGCCAGAAAACTGTTATCACAGACCGTTAGCTGGCGCCAAAAACGTAGCGCCGAACCATAGCCATAAAAAAAACAACAACTACGCCAACTCTGAAAGTTGTTTTTGCATTTCAAATTGCACACACATACATATGCACGTGTAATGCAACAGAAGCGCTGCTGTACACACAACCAACACATGGAAAAAACAACAACAGGCAGGCAGTCAGCCGAGGTTGTGTCGTTCAAACAGCACTGCTGCCGCCAACATGACAAACAAAAAGCATAAGTGAGAGCGAGAGCATTGAGAGCAAATTACTGTAAAAACCAAACGAAGCAGCGACAAAAAGTAACCAAAAAAAGTGAACAAAAAATTTGAAAGAAACCATTTTCTTTTGCGACATCCCCCTACACTTTAAATTACCGTTGGTGGTTACACCACTTTGCGCACATATTACGCCATGAAGATGCCAAACAGGCACCAAAGATTTGGGCCACCACAGCTACACAATATCTATATTGTCCATTTACTTACCACTGGAGAGGGCAATAGTACATTCTTGCGGGTCCACGGTGTACAATCGGCCTTCATATCTGATGTCCGCCTTCGAAATCAGGCTGATCTTCGAGCCTAACTCCGGCAAGCCCCCACTCATTGCTGCAGCTTGTAACTCACACACACGAGTGCCAAAATAAACCGAATAATAAATAAATAATTAGCGCAGTTGATTTCGAAGTTCACGACGGAAAAAGTAAATAGCAAATGAGTAAGAAGGCGACCCGTTCAGCTCACGAAAATCAAGCAAACAACTATAGCGAGCGCGACGACGACGTTAACCAGCGAATTTTTGACGAGCGAGTGTTGCGAGCGCCTTTTTGGCTCTTTTATTTCACTGCTTCCGATGTCGACGTTGAAGCACGCAATAACTTTCCAATAAAAATTTGCCGTTAAACACTCCCGAATTAGCCTTAGTGCATGTAATTGCAATTGCGCACAAATAGCAAAATATATTTGCAATGTCTATTGTGCAGCAAGGGACCAATTAAATGGCGATTTTACAAATAATCATACGCAGCAGACGTCTGCAAAACCTACCCGTCGAAAGTGCAAGAAAAAACCGAACGAGTTTACAATACCAGCGAGAACTCGTAGTGTTGTAGAATGCGCACACTCTCACGAACTGAAGTGAATGGCAGGGTTGTGGACTTAAATAATTATTACATTCGATGCTTCATTATTTTACGCTTAAATTGAAGCATTTAATTCACCGTAAAATATAAAAATATATGCTTTAAAATTGCTTGTCTAGGTCATAGCACGCACCGACGCGCAGTATTAATTCATATAAATGTATTCTTTTTCGAGTGCCGCACTGTTCAACACTGTCCCTGGGTTTGGCGTCGTAGCCGCGCTGCTTGGCATTGATATTCAAACTGAAATGTTGTGAAGTTTTTGTGTATAATTTGCTAGAATTGTTAAATATCATTTTAATATCCGTTTAAACTGAGTATAAACAAGCAGCACCCTTTGATATTCTCCTAATAATTAATAAAATTTCCCACTTACATGAAACATACGCACAGTAAAGAAAATTTCATTGGTAACAACTTGTGCCAATCGTTGCAATTCATTTAAAATTCTACTATCGCCGTGTATTTTTATGTAAATTATACTAGAATTGTTAAATAATGCCGCCCCAGCGCGACCCTATTAGCGTGCGCACAACGCGCCTAAATAACCTGATACTTGGCAAAGGAGTTAGCGTCACTCAGAAGCCAGCCTCCAGTGCCGCTTGCGTTCGACGCAGCGTTGTCCCAGTGAGCACCACAAGTGCAGCTGTTGCTGAAGCCATTTGTCGCGAAGGACTGCTGGACGCATTCTGTTTGCTCTACAATGAATGCGACAAGGAGACTTTGAAGAAGCGCGATCGCAACATTGCTGAATTTGTCAATAAATGTACGTAAATATTATCCTATAACAACATATAAGTTTGGCAGCTAACTAGGACCTATCCTGCCTGCAGTTCGTCCCATTGTTGAAGAGACACGCCAGCTGCGCGTCAATGTCGAAGACTTTTCGGTCAAGGCACTTATCGGCAAGGGCTACTTTGGAACTGTGCATCTAGTGGTGGAACGTCAAACATCCGATGTGTATGCCTTGAAGAAAATTAAGAAATCCGTGGTGACCACATCTCAAGTCAAGGAAGAACGCGACATAATGTCGCGACGCAACTCCGAGTGGCTGACAAGTCTGCAATACGCATTCCAGGTGAGAGATGGAAGGATCCCCAGTATGTAGTCCTTTCTACTTTAATTGCTTATTCCCAATTATAGGACAATGATAACTTGTATCTGGTCATGGAGTATCTGCCAGGCGGGGATCTACTAAGCTTAATGTCACGCCATGGTCCTTTTGACGAGGATCTTGCACGCTTCTATCTTGCTGAATTAACCCTGGCCTTGCATTCGCTGCATTCCATGGGTTATGTCCATCGTGACATCAAGCCAGAAAACATTTTAATTGATCGCTTTGGTCACATCAAGCTGGCTGACTTTGGTAATGCCGCAGCTCTAGATCGAGACGGCCACGTGCTCAGTCTGTCCCCGGTGGGCACACCAGACTATATTGCTCCAGAGCTGCTGCAGACAATCTCCACCTACAAGCTTTGCAAATCGATGCATGATGTGAGTGTAGCTGTATGTTTGGAAATCTATACCTTGCCCTTGTGCGTGTAACTTACACCCAAACGACCAAATCCCCTATATTTGTATTTATAGGTCAGCTGCGATTACTGGTCTATGGGAATCATTGGCTACGAGCTTATTTGCGAGATAACGCCGTTTCACGAGGAAAACGTGCACGCGACATATTCCAAAATACTGACGCATTGTGACGACAGCACACTTAAGGAGCTGATCTCTTTTCCCAGCGATCTTAAGATATCAAGCAATTTCAAGCACCTAATAGAATCTCTGGTCACAAATCCAACGAATCGTCTCAGCTATGAGCAGATCTGTAAGCATCCCTTCTTCGACAGCATTCAATGGAGCACACTGCGCTCCCAGGTCCCACCTATTATACCCACCGTTAAATCGGACGATGATACCTCAAACTTTGAGGATGGTACGCGCAACAAAGCGCGTCGCGAGTATATGGCCAAAAAGTCACTGACAACTAACATGAAGTCCCATGACTTCAGTGGCAAGGATTTGCCCTTTATTGGCTACAGCTTTGTACACATGGATAAACAAGGTGGAGGTAGTATTGATGATTTGGATGAGCCACGAGCAACTAAGATGCACGAAAAGCTAAAGGACCTGCAGCAAAAGCTAAAGGCGCGCAGTGATGAGATTACCCAGCTTAAACAGGATCTTCTGCGGGCTCAGCAGGCACTAAAGCAGACCGATAATAAATCGCAAGTTTTGCAGGATGCTAAGGTGGAGATCAGGAAGCTGCAGCAGATAATTAAAGAGAAGACCATGGAGCTGGCCACCTGCAAGACCCAAATCAAAACGCTGCAAAGCTCGGCCAAAATTGACGAGGACATGTGGTCGAAAAAGGAAGCCACAATTACCGATCTTTTGCGTCTCAATCGGCAAAAGTATGAAGAGGCAAAGATCGCATCCGAGCAGCGCTATGAGAAACAGCTGGCCGAAAAGAAACACGAGTTGGCCTGCATTGCGCAAAAGCTGGATGCTCGAGATCTGGAGTTCAATGCCAAGAACGATGAGTGTAAGCATTTGGCAGACAAGCTGAATAACTACAAGGAGTTGATGAAGCAGCTCAAGGATCAGGCCCAAAAGGTCCAGAAGAGCTATGAGCAGCAGCAAAATCAACTAACTGAGTCCTACGAGCAGAAGTTGTCGGATCTGCAGCAAAAGCTGCGCCAATCCCAGGACACCAACAGACGTATGACCCTTGAGCTGCACGATGTGCGCACTGAACTAACTGAATCTATTTGCACTGGAAAATCGACGCAAGAGGCAAAAAACGCCACGGAGCGTAATATCGAGGATATACTCAGGCGTCTGAACCGCGAGATAACCGCAAACAATGAGCTCCACGCCTCGAATGCCGCGTTGGAAGCGCAGTTACAGCATCACCAGAAATTAGTATTAGAGGCGCAAACCGAATGCCAGCGTTTGGAACGCGAACTGCAGGTGGGTTCCCTATTTTAGAGTCCTATTATAAAATGCACAGTGCCAAATGCTCAGTAAATTGAACAGCTGTAGTATATCGTCTTTGGTGGGAGAGTGAAGGGAGTGCATCTAGAAGGCCTGCTTGGTCTATCCAAGAACTGAACGATTTTATAATATATTTGCACTCCTTGTTCAGGATATAGGATTCATTAAAAACTTTCTCTACATAACTAATCAATTACTTATGAAGTCCTGTGTATAGCTTTGAAAGCGTTTTAAAACGAACGGACTTGAATGGACAGCGTAATAGACAGAATGTAGAGAGAACTCTGTGGGCCTGTCGCACATCCTTAACATTTTAAAAGACCAGATCTATATAAAAACAGTTACTTATGAAGTGAAGTAAAATAATTGGAAGCTTATTAGGGCGGACGGACACAAGATTACTCAAAAAAAAAAATACTTTAAAAAATAATGTCAAACTCACCTCAATAAACCATTAAAAATATCCCCAAACACGCTTCACATCCAACTCGTGCGTCCAAAATGCGTTAAGTTTGGTAAATTGGAGAAGAAAATAGCTTTTAATTCAGAATCCAACTAAAATTTATACGAACGCCAAGTAGAATTTGGATTTACTGCTCATGGCATGCTTTGATTGATTGAACTACTTTTCATGTTATATTTTTTCCAGCTTGCCCAGTGTCGAAACAACATTGCTGAATCCTCATTGACTTCGGATGCTTCGCCGTATGAAACAGCGCCTGGATCGTTGACGGAACTACGGGCTATCGAGGATCAACTTCGAGCCGACTTAGAGGTGGCCAAGGAGGGCGAAAGCGTGCAAAAGGTGCGCGCAGATCAGTTGCAGGCCCTGGTCACGAAGTTAGAGGAAATGCTGGAACGCTTCAACGAGCAGAGTCTGTCGCCAACCAAACCGCATCCGGCACCACGCAACGGCAACAGTGCCGTGGGCGATATGCTAGAGCGTCAGAACGAGAAGCTGGAGGACAAATTGGCCGCCGTGCGGGAGCAGATGATTGTAGAGCGACAGGCGGCTCGCACAGCAAACCTATCGCTGTGGAAGGTTGAAAAACAACTGGAGGAGTCCTTGGCTGAGAAGAAACTCCTCTCGCGTCGCATGGAACTGACCGAGGGTCGTGTGAAGAAGGCGCAGGATGAGCGTGAGGAGGCGCAACGTGTGCTGAAATCCGCACAGGAGGAGACACGCCTACGTGAGGCTCGCATTGAGGAGCTCAAGGAGGAGCTGGCTGCCAGCAAGCGCGACGTTCTCAAGGAGCATCGCATGTGGGAAAAATCCGAACAGGAGCGCATGAAGTGCAAGTCGGAGCTCATCGAGCATCTGGCCAATGTGCATAAGCTGGAGGAGCGTGCAACAGAGCTGCGCCAAAAACTGCATCAGGCCCAGCAGCGGTGCGACGGCCTCCAGCTGGAGCAGAAGCGTTTACAGCGTGAACTTCAGGAGGAACGCGAACGCAGTGCCACAGCCGGCGATAGTAAAAGTGCATTGCAGTCTGAGCTGAAGCAGTTAAAGGAGAACTTTGAACGACTGAAGTACGCCTGCAGCCTGACAGATGATCAACTAACAGAAGTGGAGGCCATGCTGGAGACCGAACAGCAGCGCAACAAGACGCAGCAGACCCAACTGGACGCCTGTCATGCCAAGCTGCGGGAGCGGAACGATCAATTGGCGCAGCTGCGTAAAGATTTCGCCGAACAGGAGTCGGGCAGACGTGTGGCCGAGCAACGCAAGCAGGTTCTCACTGTGGAGCTGGAGGAACTGAAGCTGAATATTCAGGAACTGCAAAAGAAATTGATTGCACAGCAAGGTCAACTGGTCGAGCAAACCAATGCTCTGTTTGGGGTGCAAGAGAGTGCGGAACTGCTTGGTGGCCAGAATGCCAATTATCAGGCGCAAAACACCGAGCTGGAGCGTGAGCTGTTCAGTCTGAAGGAGGAGAATGCACGCATTCTTAGCGATCTTTTCCATCGCAAAGAGGAGCTTAATGGCGTGCAAGCCGAGCTCAAAGAGCAGCTCTCGAACATTGCTGATCTGCACGATGAAATCGACGAACTACAGGAGATGTTGACGGAGAAGGAACAATTTTATGTACAACGCGATATTAAAGCGGAGGCAACGCTTGCGCAACATAAGAAACTCATTGACTATCTTCAGCTTAAAGTGGAGGATTTGTCCGCCAAAAAGAAGAAAACTCTTGCTGATAAAATCTTTGGTTCGAGCAGCAGCACCAAAGAGAACATCTCCCCCAATGACGTAGAGTCCTCCATATTGTATCGAGCGCTCAAGGAGGAACTCAGACGCGAACAAAAACTGTCCAAGGCCCTGCAGGAGCAGCTTGACCAACTGAATGGTACGTTGGAATCAGCTCAATTAGTTCAGCTTCAAAAATTAATCCCTCATATTTCTCTCCCTTTAAGGCACCGCCATTTTACGCTCGCCACGCAAATCAACCGTATCCAGCAGCGAGAACAGAGGAGCAGAGGAGCCTAAGCAGCGACCCGTCAGCATAGCCGCTATTCCACGCTCTCCAAGCAAGAAGCACCAGTCGACGGTCAAACGCGCCACCAGCCAAGTGCTGGAATCAAAGACCAGCAAGGCCCACAAATTGCACAACCAGGAGACCAAAGGCGATCAGCCGTTGGAGAAATCTCATCATCGCTTTGAGCTGGCACTGCAGGAGTCCAAAAAGGATGCGGTCGATTGCCTGGTCTGTGAGCAGCCTATAATAGTCGGCTCTCCCTATTGGCGCTGCAAGGAATGCAAGAGTGTGGCCCATCGAAAGTGTAGAGGCGATGTGACGGCCACCTGCGGCCACAAACCTACAGCTCCACCAGCAGACGAGATTAGTATCACGCCAAGCCACAGCAGCAGTCTGGATACGATCGATAATTTAACGAACAATGGCTCGGGCGGCGACTACGCGGGCACATTAATTTACAATGCCAGCATGGACGATCCCCTCGAGGTGAACTGCGCCTTCGAGGTGGCCGAAAAGCTCTTGTTGCTAGGCTGCAACAAAGGACTTTATGCATACCATGTGGATGGCAAGCGGCTGCTACACATAGCCGGCATCGAGTCGGTGAGTTTTGTATCCATTTCACAGCGTCTGGCCAAGGCCATCATGGTAGGCGGCGCAGGAGAGAAGCTGTACCAGTGCGACTATCGTCAGTTGGAGTCGCGCTGTCAGAGTACGAGTGCCTGTCATAAGCCAGCGTTGGAGACTTGCGTCATTGAGCTGCCGTTGGCGAATCGCACAGCCACTGAGAAATGGAAGCTGGTGCAGATTTCCAACGAATCTGAGAATGCTTTAGACTCGGTGGCCATTGCCGCCACCTCGATGCGCATTGTCATCCTGAAGTACGATCTGAAGCTGCACAAATTCAAGCCTGTACGGGCCTTGGACACCGCCACGCCGGTCACCTCAATTTTCTACACACGCCACTCGGCCATTGTGAGTTCGGACAAGTTTTACGAGATTGACTTGGATAACTATGCGGCCGAGGAGTTCATCGACCTGGCCGACAAATCGCTCCAGCACACATCCAATTGCCAGCCCTTTGTGGCAGTACGCATCTCGCGCCAGGAATATCTGCTTTGCTTTGCTGAGTGTGGCGTTTTTGTCGATGAGTTTGGCTGTCGCTCACGTCCCTACGACTTGAACTGGGTATATGCCCCCACCGGCTTTATGTACCGCGAGCCCTTCCTTTATGTTGCTCACTACCAATACGTGCAGATAATACGGTTGCATCGCTCGTATAGTAAGGAGCTGGCCAAAGGACACAATGGCGATGGAGAGCGCAATGAGACTCCGGATCTGCAGCGCGTCTATTTAGCTCAGTATATGCCGACACTATTAGCCAACAGCGGCGAGACGAATCTTTATGCCTTGTCCATAGACCAGGAGCCGGGGACACAGCAGATATTCTATTTCGATGCGTTGCGGGCGTTTAAAAATAAATTGAATATCTCCATAGAGACAATTTCGTCGGTGGCCACTTCGGTGACACTTGGATCTTTTATGACAACGGACAGTGTGTAAATCTAAAGAGATTTCACTTTTTCCTGCTTTTATTTAATCATAAATTTAAATGTATTGCACTTTTAATTCAAAAATAAATGTACTTTTTGTACCACATACGCTCATATTAAAGCTTAGGTGTCCGTTACGCGCCAAACTCAAGATGGGAACTCTGCACATGCTACACCCTGTGTCAGCGTAACAGTTATTATTTTTGTATTGTGAGGAAGAAGCAGCATCATTGCCTACAGCTTTTATCTTGAAGCGCAGTAAAAAGCCCGAAAATATGTCTTGTCTAACCCCTCAGACAAGGGGGAGGGTTGAAGTTGTTGTTGCGACAGGGCATTGTAGTAGTTGGGCACGGTACTAGACTAAATTGTCGTAATTGATTTCAATTCATCCCCGCATGTGTAAGTCTTACGTACGATGTTTAAATCAAAACATAAAAGATGGGTGCGCACCGCGGCGGCTGATTCAACACAGAGCATTGGAACCGGTAAAATGTCGATGTGTCGCGCTTGCCTGTGCCTCCTTCCTAGTCCTTCTGATGCAGCGCACGACTTGCACAGCGAAAAGGACCTTGCCTTAAAGTTTTTGGCTTGCACAGGACGTGGTGTCGACGCCTTGCTGCCGCTCCAGGACGAGGCCACCCAGGTGGTGCTCAAATACATTTGCGAGAGTTGCTATCAATTGGTACAACAATTCCATAATTTTCAACGGATGTGCGAAGAGTCCTTGCTGAACTTCGAGAAGCTGCTGCTAGAGGCAAGTCCTCGCCGTAAGGATAATGAGCCGCTGTTAGAAAAGCACACCAAGGACGCAGACGATGTTATTCCAACGCCAAAGGAAATCAAAAATATCGTAAGTTTCAAAATGTGTGCAGCTAAATAGCTGTAAATTAGCGTGGGGGCGTGTGTGTGAAGCGAAATACAATCTTATCACCTATAAAGCGCTCAAGTGGTTGCCGAGCAACGCTTGCATTGGATACGGAAGACAAAACGTACACACACACACTCACTAAACGATTCTGGTGTGGCGTGAGAACCTACAGAACAAACATGTGCTTAAACGTAAACAATAAAAGCTCAATTCTATACGGATCTGTAGTTGTGTGTGTGTGTGCACCATACGTATGTAATAAATTATGTATGTGTGTGTGTGTGTGAATTAATTTCGTCCCAGCGTTTTGAATGGGCCCCGCGAGTTTTTAAAACTGGAATATTGCAGCATCAAAGTTAAATGACTTCGGCAAATAAAAATATTCTTAGTATTTAAAAACCATAAAGAACTGGCGATTAAAATTATATAAGGAAATAAAAGAGCATCAAAAACAAACGTAAACAAATGAGTAACAACAATCTGCACCGAAGCCATATATCCTCCTACATGCAAGGTCATGGTATACCCTTACTGTGTTCTTACTATCTAATCTTTAATATGAAATCATTTTCTATTTATTTTGGATTTGGTCACAATTCGCGTGCCACAAGTGCAATACCATTATAAATGTGAAAACTGCTTCCAGTATCTATAAAAATTGTTTTAATCAAAAAATATTTTTAAAAAAATTGTTATAGTAATCTGACATGATTTTTGATCGTTACGTCAGCCTGATCGTGAATACATAGATATCTATGTACATATGGATATGCTTTTTTAAAAAGTGATCTAGCATTTTTATTTATGGGTGTTACAAACTTAAAATAGTAATTAATATAGTATGACTCTAAATTTACAAAAACATCGCTAATTCAAAAACATCCATATTGTATATTAAATGGAAAATATATAAAGAATATAGACACAATATATTTAAAATAAAAAATTAATCCCAAACTTTAAATGCAAATTGAATGCTTCAGTAATGATACAGGTACCATTACAGTTATAACCGCTGGTACAGTTAATAACACCAGCTGTTCAATTATGTTATCTTTCACAATGAAGCAAATTTTATATTCTAGTTATTCGATGCTTATCTTTGAACTTTCACTAAAAAAATAAATGTTGAGTTAAATCGGGTGGAGTGGATCCATTTACGATCAGTACACTTGCTTCATATCGAAAAAAGATTAATAAAGTCTTAAAGCTTTGCCTTGAAGCTGGTGCTCTTTTTTTGTTCCGCTACCTACTTTTCAAATCCAAATATTCAATCATTGGAAAAGCTACCAATAAATTGTTACTTTTCTGATATTTCTGATGTATTTCGATTGTGATTTCGAATGCTTTTGGTTAAAATAATTAACTAATATTAATTAACTAATATCAAAGTTATCGTTGGTCTTCATTACAGGAAGAAGTTTACATAGTAGAAGATGAGTCCACCAAACAGGAACAGGCGGAGCACTTTCTCGCGTCACAAAGTGAGGAGAAGGTATCGCCACCATCTCCACATGTGATTGTGGCTTTGAAACGCCGTCGTGGTCAGCGCCGCACCCTTTCCTGCAACCTTTGCCCGCAACGCTTCTACAAAGCTAATCTTCTAGAGGCGCATATGAAGGAGCACAGAGGAGAGAAGCCGTACACCTGTGTTCATTGCGGGAAGGCCTATGCGCGTTCCAATTTGTTACGTTCGCACCTGCAAGAGGTTCATATTCGCCTGAAGGCCAGCTATCCTTGTCCGCATCCGAATTGTAATAAAATGTACAGAGCAATCCGAAGTTTGAAATATCACATAAATCAGCAGCACGGTGGCCGACAATCGTCCTCTGCCGCAGATGTGGACCTCAACTGCTCCCTCTACATATGCGACAAATGCGGAAAATCCTATGGCAGCCAGGGCCACCTCACGCGTCACCAGTGGGTACATGTTGGCAAGCACGAGCGCCCCTTCGAGTGCAACCATTGCGCCCAGCGTTTCTACACTAAGCAGTTCCTGGCCGATCACCTGGTGCGTCGCCACAGCTCAGCGTATATCCAGAGGTGTAAGAAATGTGGTCGAATCTTCCCTTCTTGCGACGATCTGGCCAACCACATGAAGGAGTTACACGCTTCAGCGACCCCGAATATCTGGAAATGTGATACCTGCCACAAAAGCTTCAGCACTCGCAGCAATTTGCGTTGCCACCAACGGGTAGTCCACGCTTGCGTGCGTCCTCATAGCTGCAGCTTCTGTCCGGCGAAGTTCGGCAAGCGTCAGTGCTTGGAGCACCACGAAATGCGCCATACGGGCGAGCGGGCATTCAAGTGTTTGGCCTGCAAACGGGCCTTTATTCAGAAGGGGGCTTATCAACGGCACATGCGGGCGCATAAGAAAGAGAAGCTGCGGGTCTGAAATACTCAGAATAGCTAGAACAGCTTTTAGCCTAATCAAAATTGGGTACCTATTAGATAAGAATCAGACCGTTTATTGTTGGGCATAACAAGTTTGTTAGTTGTTTAGTTATCATATATAGACAGCTTCTTATAACTGCCGTAGAGGGTCGATACAAGAATGCCTAATGGTTTATCAAAAGCCCCAGAATTAGCTTTCTTCTGTCGTTTAGTATAGTGAAGGTTGATGAAGAGAATTATGTCATTCGTAGTACAACAAATTCTGTTACGTGTACAATTGGATATTAAAATGAAAATTCTATAAAGTTCTGACACCCGAAAAACCAATAGTCAAGAAATTGCTTCCATACGATCAGATCACCTTATAGATATAGGCTGTTAAAAATATATATGCGAGGATCGACATATTTTAAATTCCCTATTAGAATTGCTACTCAAATTTGGTCTTTTTTACATATATATTTTTCAATAACTTCAAGCCAACACACTTGTTACAATTTAAAATTACTTTTGAATTACATACTTAAAAATTTTTACGAGTTGCGATTAGATTAGAACGGGCGCCGCATGCGACTTATATTTGCATATGAGTAGTGTTTGATGAAGGAAGTGGGCGAAGGGTTTATGCAGGGAGATGCTGGGAGAGGAGGCTACAATAAAATTAGCTAACATTTGCATATGGGCGGGTGGGTGTTGGTTGGGTGGATGGGGGAACAGTCGCCGCACAATCGCTCGAAATCAGTACAAAACTTATGACATACAAATGATTACATATTTAAAGAATTATTTTATAAAGTAAAAAACAATTAACTAAAATTTATACTTAAGCTTAAAGAAACAGACAGTTCTAAAATTACATACCAGTATCATCATTGAAAGTGTTTTAATAAATTTTTTAAAGAATAATAATTGAAAAGTCAGATCATCGGTGACACTACGACGACGACGATTGGATGAAGTCTGTAGAATTTTCATAAGCTAACAGCTAATACCGTGCAAAGGTGTGTGTGTGGTATAGTGTAGTGTGGTGCGGAGTGGATGAGTGGAGGTGCTTGCACTTTACATGAATATGGGACGAGAGTTAGCGACTGCCACTGCCACCTATTGCCTATATGTCTACAAGTCTATATACTTAGGTATCCTTGTGCTTTTCGTAGAAGGCATCCAGGTATTTTTTGTACTCCTTTTGATCGTTCCACATCATGGCGGCCTGAGCATTTAGTGGACTTTCGTTGTTTGGCTCGCCGAGCAATGACTGTATAGACAGCAGAATGGTGCGCACATCGTACAGAGCGGACCACTTGTCTTTCAGTATGTCCAAACAAATAGCGCCTTGCAGATCGACGTTTGGGTGAAAGCACGGCGTCAGGAACTTAACTACGGGTGCGGCATAAGGATACGAATTTGGGAAATCCAGCGACAGGCGATAGGTTTGTGCCGCATACACTGTGTTGGTGGGTCCGGCTATGGTGCCCACCCATTTGAAGATGTTCTCCCCGTCAGGAAACGCTGATATACCCTTTTCATTGGCCATCATCAGATTCATGAGTTCTTTATGCAGTCTATGTGTGGGACACAAACAAACACGGAAACAATACAAAAATATGTAAATCATTGCACTGTACATTTTGGAAAGCTGCTTACCTTTTGCTCACGGCATGATTGTCTTTTATGGGCAGAGAGTCATCGTTGTGTTTGACGCTGCTGCTGCCGCCAGCGCCTCCGCTCTGTTCGGGGCTTATGTTTTGTGCCATCTCGTGCGTGTGCGTGTTATGGAATTTAGTAACTATTGACTGCTAAACGTTGAATTAATTATACTGCAATGCAATTTTGTTGGTCAGAATACGATACGACGTCTGGTATTGTTCTGTACAATACTTTTTTCACTTTTTGTGTGCTATGCGATGTTGTTTGACAGACGGCTAGATATTCGATATTTACGTTAATACAAAATGGAAGGAACAAAAATTGAGCGTGCGCAGGGTTGCATTTCGTTGCGCAGATGACTGCCGTCATTCGTAAGAGTGCGAACGGGACGGAACCACAAACATTGAGCTGCTAAACTGTGCTATCGGAATGCTATCGCAATCGAAGTCCTGCACAGTCGTTTGATATGGATGAAAACGGTTTAATTTATGGGTTGGAATTGCAGGCTCGTGCGTTAACTCCTCAGTATGGTGAATGCAATGAGGTACGTTTTTTTATAGCCACGAACTCGCTGAAGCCCACAAACCAAGTCCACCTGCTTCAGTACAATGAGGAGCAAGGCAACATACAGTCCAAGGTATACACATCGGACATACATATGTATGGACTATATTTTTGAATATTCTGACGTTTCATTTTAGATTTTCGAGCATGCCTTGGGTGAGGTATGGAAGCTCAACAGCTGTCCAAACGACGCACGTTTGTTAGCATCTGTATACAATGTACAAAACGGGGCACAGGTGTTGACACAAGCAGCTTTGCTGACGTTACCCCAGAATTTGGATAGTGATGAAAACGAGCAGATAAAAAGTGAATACATTCCCTGGGCGCAGGTGGAGAAATTGGATACTGGGCGGTTGGGTGAGCGCGTGAAGACCATTGAATTCCATCCCAGTCAAGAGCAGACAATGGGTTGCGTGATCGACAATAAGTTGGCAATCATGCAGCGTGCCGAATCTTCAACACGTGTGGTGGCTGAAGTGAGTAGTACGGGTTCGAGTACGAAGCACATGTCGCCTTTCACCACTGGCAAGTGGTCACATCATCACCAGGGGCACCAATTTCTGGCACTGCACGACTGCAGCGTGCGGGCCTACGATGTGCGTGATGTTCAGCACTGTGCCTGGTCGATCGAAGAAGCGCACGGTCAGCTAGTGCGCGACGTGGACTGCAATCCGAACAAACAGTGTCACCTAGCCACAGGTGGGGACGATGGTTATCTCAAGGTCTGGGACTGCCGTATGCCGAAGGCGCCGGTTTTCGCCCGTAGTGATCATTCGCATTGGGTGTGGTCCGTCCGTTTCAACACATTCCACGACCAGCTGATCCTCTCCAGCTCGAGTGATTGCAAGGTGCTGCTTACCTGTGCCGGATCGGTAAGTTCAGAAGCTGAGGGGACTAGTGCGAGTGGTTTGGAAAGCACAATCTCGGCTGGCATGGACGACCGCCGCAAATTGTTTTTGGATGGCTTGCTACAAACGTTCGATCAACACGAAGATTCGGTTTATTGTGTGGAGTGGAGTAATGTGGATCCATGGATTTTTGCATCGCTTAGCTATGACGGGCGAGTTATAATCTCAAAGGTGCCCAAGCAGTACAAATACCAGATTATCTTTTAAAACAATATATTAACATACATACATAAATAGTATAAATAGTGCTTATAAATAAACCGATCATATTTGAAAATTTAAGCTAACTAACCTGTATCCTCGGATGTGCAATCAGACGAGTCATTGGGATTGGCAGTCTCAATGGAACACACTCGTTTGATCAGCTCATTCTCTATGGGTGGCTGTCCATTATCGATCGCCTCCTCCATTTGCACATACTCAATGGTGGCGTTGCTCTTTTTGGTTTCTGATATAGGCGGAATCACTGCTGCAGGCTTAATAGATGTACTGCAACCAGAACTAGTCCCCGCACCCGCTGTCATCGCTTCCGTTTCGTCCTCCGCTTCTTCGGCAAGGCTACTGCGCTGGGGCTGCGCTTCTGCGTACTCGGCTGGATATTGGTGTTGAAGTTTTTGTTTGATTACACGTATCTTGCGGAATATGTACTCGAGATCCTTCTTCATTTCGTTTAATAGCTTGACATGCCTTTTAAAGTCTTCGTTAGCTGTCCGCAGACGGTTCTGCGATAGTGAGTTGCAATTTAGGAGCATTTCGTTGGTTTTTTCGAAACGTTGTAGCCTGGTTAAATCGAAATTATTAAAAACTCTAATGTATACATCCTTCACATAATCACATCTGCTTCTGTGCCCGTATCATGGTCTCCACATCCCCCTGGTTAACCATTCCTGCTAACCCCTGAATGAAAGACTCGGCAGCTGTATAGGCGGCAAATCCCTCGAATGATTCAAGTTCTGGCGTCGCATCGGCGTCATCTTGGGCCATGCCACCGTTGCTCCCGCTGTTATCCGTCATATTCAAAGAATCAACGGCTCAAGCCGTCAATTGCAACAAAATGTTGCGTTTGTGATTATCAAAACAAGGGAAAATAATGTGGAGATGGGATACAAGCGATTGTATTTCGTGAAGAAAGCTCGATAGCTGTAAAACAAAGGCTGCCAACTTTTGCACAACGAAAGTCTTTTGTAACTAATAACTGTTTAAACGAAAATATCTTAAACAAATGTCGAAAAATTACTTGCATAATTTCGAGCAGATATTTGTTATATTGAAAAAAACAAGCTGGCTTCAGTTTTAAAACATTCGTTTGTTTTATAATTTCCCTCAGTGCCGCAGATATAATTTAATTTACCAACACTGGGGTATAGTGGGGCAATGTCAACAATACACTTAATAAATTTTAAAATTACAGTTATTGCTTTCATGAGCGAAAAGGGACGGTCTTAAAGATGATCGATTGCCTTATAAATAAATTACTTTACCTGAACCGGAACATCATAAGCACGTTACTCTACTTCGTCCATAAAATCAGACAATAATTCCCTTAAGCAAATTTATATTATGTTGATAGTCATAGCGTCGACCTTAAAAATAACAATTAATAATATTAATAGTTTAGCCGCCGACGACCCATCCATCAAAACGGTGATGATAAATAATGAATAAAATGTTGTGGGGTATGTGGATGTCTCATTATATGATGCGACATTATTCGATAGTGGCTTTTCTTTTATTGCTTATAAAAATGTATGAAAAAAGTATATAAAGTGTCTTGTGCGTGCTGCAATCTTGGCAGTGTACCGCTTTCGCCCTATTTTTTGCGCTCTCATACATGTTCGTCGGCCAACCCGGCAGTGCCTGGAACGACAGCGTGATCCAGCTCGTTAAGCATTACAAGACCGCCAGCGGCTTCGTCCACTGCCACAACTGCGACAGCAGCAATTGCACCAACACCGCCAGCCATTCCTGCAGCACCGGCTCCGACGATTTCAGGTGCGACTTGTGCCACAATGCCTATGTCAGCGTTATTTCCTTGCGGGTTTGCAATCGCTATAGGTGGTGCTGGTATGGGGTTTCCACCTGTAAGAGAAACAGGATTCCATATATAAGAGGCTTCGTCTTAAGCCATAGCCCATGCGAATTGGGCGTAACAGCGTACTTGCGTCCAACTCCAAGGGCGGATCGGCATTCGCTTCGGCGAGATTGGTAACAGACTTTGACTTAACGCACTGAAAGTCCACATGGCGACTCTTGGCTTCCTCCTTTTCCCACGACATATGTATAAAGGGCCGTTGAACGTAACTATAAATGACCTCAGCGCGTCCACCAGGACGACGGCGAACCTTCTCCTTGTGCGTTGGATAGCCCTAGTTTGTACAGTTTCAATGTTATTTTGTAATAATAATAGCAATAATATAAATTACTTCAATGCCGCAGCGAATCTTCTTTAAGCCCCGGTCCTTCATCACTTGCTTGGCCACATCGCGGTTCTCAATGTATTTGAAGAAACGATGCATGGCAGTGCTGTGCACAGCTATGGATAGAGATGTTATATTAGACTTAATTTGTTAATTGTAACCGCAGGCAGATATTTGCTTACTCTGGCAGTACTCCTCGCCCATTTGTGGGGGGAACTCCTCGTCCCAATCAACCATGTCGTCATCTAGCAACACAACAACATGGCACTCGCGATCTCCGCGCTGTGCGGAAGCGACCATTAATGGTAGTATGAGATCTGCCAGAAATACCTCGAACTGCAATCGCGCACCCTCGTTGCTCAGCTCGTGAAGCAGGCCTCCTTTTTATTGTAGGAAAAGTAACAGAATCGTAAGCGTACGAAAATGAAGGTACAAAAAAGAAGAAAGCAGATGGCGCAACTAAGAGGGGCCCTTAAGTGGAGGCCGCAGCAGCAGCAATAGTAATAGTTTACTCACTTAGATTCTGACAGCGCACTGTAGTGGCGTCGAACGGAATCAGCAGATAGTCGCAGGCTTCCTTCAGCTCTGGCACTGATACAGTCGGCGGACACTTGATCAGACCGCTCTTGTAGTATTCGAGTATGGCGCGAAAGACGAGATGAGAGATGCCATCGGCCACTTCGTACTCACCCCGCTCATTCGGATGCACAAACTGAAAGCCGGTACCGAACATGGTGCCCAGCATGGTGTTGGGATGTGCGGTGAGCAGCGACTGTTCGATTGTAAAACGCACTCCGTCCACCAGCATTGAGATACGTTCGGGGGGCACCACACGTGCCGCGGCGGCAGCAGCAGCTGCACTACTAGTGGATGCGCTTGGACCGCCAGCCGTTGCCTTTTCATGTTTTGGTATCGCTCCACCACTCATGTTAGGTTTGTTGTGCGACCTTTGCATATACGTGCTGCTTCTACGAAGTTAATTAAAGAATTAGTAATTTCTTAAAATAGGTTACTATGGTAAATTGTTATTGTACTGACCTATTACGATTCTTTAGTATGCGTCGCCTTCGTTCCTCTGCCGCCTCAATACTCTCCTCACTGCTGTCACTATAAGAGTCCTGCTGCTGTTTCTGCTTGCTACCTGGGTTGCCGCTGCTATTGTTGTTGTTGCTACTACTACTATTTCCGGAATTGGGAGTTGACATTTTTCGAGATTGCGCTATAGTTACGATTTGTTTGCTGATTACGAAATAAAAAGGATAATATATTAAATTTATTTAATAATATATTTATTACAATACGTGAATCCGTAAATGTCAGTTAGAAATTTATATCAGTTAAAAAAAAAAAACTTACTTTACAGCCATCTATAAGAATAACATTTTATACTGTAAGAGCTCTACAAACAGCTTTTTTAATCATTTCAATTCATCTGACCAACACTTCAATATCAGTTGTATGTGTTTGTGTGTACGTACATAAACACTGCACGTAGGAGCGAACGATTGTCTGTCATTCGCCAATCCTTACTGTTCTAGCTTGCAGAATGCCATTGTAATCTGGCAAAGCGAGATTATCCGGACTTACTTAACGATGCCAAAAAACTCGTGCGATTACCACTTAAATTTTGTTACGCCAAAATAAATGTGAAACGACAAATGTTTACTATTATTTTATTTTGTGTAAATTCACTGTCTTTTTTCGTCTATGTCTAGTGCATTCTAAATTAGTGGTGTAAGAAATACACAATAACCTTACATCGTAGCTATCGATGTTTAAAATATATTGGCATATCGATAGTTAAAAAAGTAAACGAAACTAAAATTATATTTCACTTATAATTTATGGATATTTGATCTTTACATTAAAAGATTATTAATTTACGAGGAGCCTGAAATTTAAGATTTAAATTGTAATTATATCAAATTTGTAACGTTATATTGAAGATATGATATATTTGATATGATATTATTGGGACCTATCTATCTGGAAAGTAAAATTATATTTCTCATTTAATTTATAAATCTGATCTTTACGTGAAAAGATTATAAATAAAGGAGACGCCTTAAAAATTAAGACTTTAATTGTAATTATATCAAATTTGTAACTTTATATTGAAAATATAAAATTATTGGGACCTATCAAGTTAGATCTTTTGTGTAAAGACCTTACAAGTTTGCGTTACATCTACATAATATAATATACACATAAGACTCATCTGATTGATCTCTTTGAAAAAATCAAAATTATGGAAGGAGTAGTGATTCAAACCGGCAGATAGACATTGCTGTATGGATTTGTCTCATTGCGGTAACCATTTAATGTAAATTTGTAAGAATGTATGCATATATGTATACCATTCAACAAGTTTTCATGCTGACAATGTATATGCGTTCACCTTACAGAATACACACTTTAAAATTGAATTCATGCACTAAAAATCGAAATACATATGTATGTTTACATTTTGCTGGGGTAGAAAAGCATTGGCAACAAATGTTGCTTAGCACAGATTTATCGATGCTTCTACAGTCGATAACGATACCAGTGCAAATGTAAAGAATACTTTTGGATTACTTTTCAAACTTACATTCAATATCTTATTTCAAATTAAAAATTATAATTTCTATATAATTTTCAATTAAACTGGATGCGGATCTGGATCTGAACGATAACAGGGCCATAACCATAGGTTTGGGCATGCATAAAAGCTAACAACAGCAATGGGAACAATAAATTAATACATAACAATATATCACTGGAACCGAATAGATAGATCATAGATGTCTGGACTTTCACTCTATTAAGCAGAAATATAACACAGGCATTTCATCTGCGGCCAAACTATTCAAAATAAGTATTTTAAGTAACATAGGTAGGATATGTTTTTATTAATGGCTCTATTTTACTAGAATAATTTACATATTTCTGCCGAACTCTCCCATTTTTAGTAGATTTCCGACAGTAGTATATAACTGTTTTTCGGTAAACTATATCACTGAAACCACTTAGGTTTTCAAGGAAAATTTGTTCCAAAATGACTATCTGTAGAAAAACCACCACAGAAGTGGGGCATAACTTTTGATTTAATGCAAAAGAATTATTTTCGTTATTTAGCACGTTCTCTGCTAATTCTTTTAATTTTAATACACATAGATATATTTATATTTAATTATAACGTCGTGATTATCGATAGTATCGATAAGTATATATATATCGATATATGCTGACTATAAAAATGGCTGACTATGAGTACTAGTACGCAGTGGCTCCAGATCTAATCTAACTATTTTCGTCTTGTAAATATTCGTAATAGTTTCGTATTTGTGGCAAAACAATTGGCGAATTGTGATTATTTGTGAAAAATACGGGAACGCGATTAGTTTGCAAAGGGAGCCTTTTCCAATAACAAGTGCTCTGTGTGTCTGCAAGGAAAAATTGCGGCGGCAAACTAAAACAGAATTCGCTACGAAATTCGTGCCAAAACATCAAATAATTTGTAGCGGCAAAAGCCAGCGAGCGGGAATTATTGCATTGTGATTCTGGTCCTATAAGGATTCGCGAAATGTGCAATAATTTGCAAAAACAAATAATATTGGTACAATAAAAAGTAGGAAAAGTGCAAAAAAGATGAATATGATGCACAAGAGAGAGGAAGAAAAGCGCTCAGACAGAAGCTGGAGACTGCAGCACACATTGTCACCTGCATCTCGCTCGCACTCACGCGTGGGTGCACTCGCCCTTTAGCGAGTTCTTGTTGTTGCGAACGAGATGGCATCAAGGTGCGCTTGTGTGTAGCAGCAGCGAGTTGTTGTCCGGCAGCGCGATTTTCTATTTCCTTTTTACTATGTATTTTTTGTGTATTTTTTGGGGAAAAAACAAAAAAAAAAGCAAAGAAAATGCATAAATTTGCAAATGTGCGTGGTTTTTAATTGCTCCTCGTGTTTATGTACCCAAGTGCAGCTACTAACAGATGTGCGAAGAACAATTGATATTAAACAGCAATAATTTTTGCGAACGACTATCTATTCTGGAGAACAAAATAATCCACAAAACATTATTGTAAAAGAGTATACGCAGCAGACGCGCGCACTGCTCCTGGACGAGTGAGTGCCCATCACAGACTGCAAAGTGGCGGCGCTACTCGGGAATAGTGCTGGGGCAGGGGCGTCCATGTTTCACGGGCGGCAGCAGCAGCACAACACCAGGAGAACGCAGCAGCTTCAGCAGCAGCAGCCGGTGTGGTGTCGCCAACTCTGGCCTTAAGCATGTAGTAAGTAGTTGGCGCAATTCGCGCGATTTCATTGCTTTGATTTTGTTTGATGTAAATCATAATGCGCGCAGGTCCAAATTGGCAGACACATAATTGAAGCAATCCGTGGGTCTACACAACCACCACAACCGAAAAGAAGAGAAATCTCTTAAAGAAATCGAAAAACAACACAAAAATCAACACCAATGAAAAATGTCACAAAGAGGTAAACGTGGTAATCAACATCTGCAGCAGCCGCATAATGCGCCGCTGCCGCAGAAGCAGGATCAGCGACATGATGTTGAGCCCCAGCCACCGCCCACAAAGCGACGCAAAGGTCGACCGCCCAATGGGGCGGCGACAACAACAACAGTAGCTCGACCGTTGAGCAATAGCAATGCCCCCGAGCAGGAGCGCAATGTTGGAGGCGGTGGCGTTGGTGTTGCTGGTGGCGCTAGTTGTGCTATAGATGTCGGCAGCAAGCTGGTAGCACCAACAACAACAACGACGACAGCAATGTCCAAATCATCGAAGGTGCCGAGTAAGGCGTCCGCAAGCAAATGCAAGTCGCAGGGTAGCAACAGCAATACGTGGCAAGCGCGTTCAGTGGCCGACATTAAGATGTCGAGTATTTACAATCGCAGCTCGACGGAAGCGCCGGCTGAACTGTATCGGTGAGTACCAACTACTGCTGCCCCCACAGACTTTCCATAATTGTTTCACATAATTTTTTAAACTTGCAGCAAGGATCTCATTAGCGCTATGAAATTGCCCGATTCGGAGCCATTGGCCAACTACGAGTATCTCATTGTAACCGACCAATGGAAGCAGGAGTGGGAAAAAGGTGTACAGGTGCCTGTTAATCCGGACTCGCTGCCCGAACCGTGCGTTTATGTGCTTTCTGAGCCCATTGTATCGCCAGCTCACGACTTTAAACTGTAAGAATCCAAGAAGCCCTTGCGTGTTATGTTCCTAATTAACTAAAATGCATTTTTGATCGTTACAGACCGAAAAATCGCTTTCTGCGGATTACCAAAGACGAACACTACTCGCCCGAGTTGCATTGCCAAACGAATGTCGTTGCCTTGGCGGAGAACACATGTGCCTATGACATTGATCCGACTGACGAGGCATGGCTTCGCCTTTACAACGCAGATCGTGCGCATTGCGGTGCTTTTCCCATAAACGAAACGCAATTTGAGCGGGTCATCGAAGAGCTAGAGGTACATCCATCTGCAATAATGCTTATAAACGAAATTGCTCATTCAATTTGTTGCCTATTAAAGGTCCGCTGCTGGGAGCAGATACAGGTCATACTAAAAAATGAAGAAGGTCTGGGCATAGAGTTTGACGAAAATGTTATTTGCGATGTTTGTCGTTCGCCCGACTCTGAGGAAGCAAATGAAATGGTATTCTGTGATAATTGCAATATCTGCGTGCATCAGGCTTGTTATGGCATTACAGCAATTCCATCAGGTAAGCACACATTATCCTATCTCTGGAGTATTCGCTCACTTATGGGCTCATTAAATTTTGCAGGACAATGGCTCTGTCGCACCTGTTCGATGGGTATTAAGCCGGAATGCGTTCTGTGTCCAAATAAAGGCGGAGCAATGAAATCAAACAAATCGGGTAAGCATTGGGCACACGTTTCGTGCGCACTCTGGATACCCGAAGTTAGTATTGGATGTGTGGATCGCATGGAACCAATTACAAAAATCTCAAACATTCCGCAAAGTCGTTGGTCTCTGATTTGTGTGCTTTGTCGCGAGCGTGTCGGGTCTTGTATTCAGTGTTCGGTTAAAACGTGCAAGACCGCGTATCACGTCACATGCGCGTTTCAGCATGGTTTGGAGATGCGTGCCATCATCGAAGAGGGCAACGCTGAGGACGGTGTCAAATTGCGCTCCTATTGCCAAAAACACAGCGTTAGCAAGGGAAAGAAGGAGCTGGGAGGCAGTGGTGGACCAGGAACGTCGCACAAATCGAATAAATATAGCACGATACATGGTGCAGGGGCCGCCGATGAAGGTAGCAATACCGGCGCCGAGGATCACCGCAGGCGAAAAAATCATCGTAAATCGGACATGACATCAGAGGAACGCAATCAGGCACGTGCTCAACGTTTGCAGGTGAGTCGAGACTAAATAAATAAATATAAATGTCCTTATTAAACAATTTAATATTTTAAAACGCAATTTAGGAGGTCGAGGCCGAGTTCGATAAGCACGTGAACATCAATGACATCAGCTGCCATTTGTTTGATGTGGACGACGATGCAATCGAAGCCATTTACAATTACTGGAAACTCAAGAGAAAGTCGCGGCACAATCGGGAGCTGATACCACCAAAATCAGAGGATGTCGAAATGATTGCGCGCAAGCAAGAGCAGCAGGATCTCGAGAATCATAAGTTGGTGGTACATCTGCGACAAGATTTGGAGCGTGTCCGTAATCTGTGCTATATGGTTAGCAGGCGCGAAAAGCTCTCGCGCTCTTTGTTTAAACTGCGTGAGCAGGTTTTCTACAAACAGATCACCGTTCTAGACGATGCCCAGCAGCATCTACAGCAGGATGCCAGTGCCAATGACAAATCAACGCTCTTGGATTTAGATGCAGTTATCTACGCCAACGATGGCCCCACACTGTATGATCGCTTCTACACCTCAACCATTGGTGGCGCACAAACTGTGCCGGCGCAGTACCAGAGCCTCCAGTATATCCAGGAGCAGCTGTTGGGCAAGTACAGTAGTGGAAAGGGGGTCCGGGGCCGCGCTTCTGTATCGCCCAATAAGCGAAAGCAGCAGCAAGCGACAAGTGTTGTTAAAACATCGCCCAACAAAAAGGTTAACAATGGTGCAATATCGACAGCGACAACAACCACAACGTCGCCTGATAAATGGGGGACGTCGACGTCGACATCGAAGGCGCAGGCGCTACGCAACTCAGTGGCGGGTGGAAAAGCCGATACGGTTGGGACTGGGAGTACTGGGAACAAAAGCACATTGGCCACTACGGCTGCACCGACGACGGCGTCACCTAGCGGGAGGCGTGCCTCAAAGAGTGGTGCGACGACGGCAGCAACAGCAGCAGCTACAACAGCGACGTCGTCGTCGTTTACAAAAAGAAGTGATGATGAGGGCGCTGGCGCAGACAGTAGTGCGTCCTCCCGTTCGTCAAGCGGTAGTTCTTCATCGGCTGATTCGTCCTCGGAGGCCGCCAGCAGTTCTGGCGGCTCCAGCGATTCCGGCAGTGAGAGCAGCGCATCCAGTACATCATCCTCCAGACGTAAGGCCATCTCCAGTAAGACAACGACAGCCAGCAATAAACAAACATATGCACGTTCCGTTGATATGCGCCAAAAGCAACGACAGCGTCGGCAACAAAACGAGGCAGGTAATGGTGCGGGTAGCCCGTCTGCCGACTCACGTACTAGCTCAAGCGATGAATGCGATGTCGATCGGGACAATGATGGCGACGTCGAAGACAGTTTGCGACGTAAGCGAGGCGTCCACAAATCAGCAGTACCTGCAAAACTAGAGCAGCCACACAAATCTAAGTCAAAGCACAATGCCACAAACGCCTCCACCACCAGTATCAGCACCAGCACCACAACCACTAGCACCATAACCAGCACTAGTAACGGTGCCAGAGGAAAGTATGACAACGTAACGACGGGAAGCCGAGGTCGCGATTGTCTAGCACAAATGGACAAGGAACTACGGCAAAAGGGCGCTGCGTGTCCATCAAGCGACGAGAGCGAGGAGCTACTTCCGCTAAAGACTACAAATAGTGCCAGCAATATGGCCGCTGGAGGAATGGGTGTAGAGCAGCATACACGAGGAGTCGGGCATGCGGCAACGACATCCAACCGAAAGGTTGGCGCACAACAAATTTACTCCGACTCGGATAGCTCAATGACGCCCGACAAGGAAGAGGAACGTGCTACGGAAAGTAATGTGAGTGATTCACAGAACCAGCAAACGATACGCACAAAGGCTGCTATGAAGGAATTTACGCTACAACAACAGCAACAACAAACGACGACGACGACGACAACGGCGACGAATACGGCAATGACAGGCGCTTCATCAAAGGCCAAATCTATGAAAGAAGTGAGCAGCAAGTCTAGTGCAAATAAAAGCAATGTTAATGCCATTAAGCAAAAGAGTGCCAACAGCAGTCTACCATTTCCGGCCGATCTGCTTGTGGTACCACAAAGACAGGCTGCTAAAAAAGCTTCCGAAAATATGCGATCAACGAACCTTTACAATGCTGTTGCTGGTGCGCCAATTACAAGCGCTGAAAGCCTGGAACGAGTTCGCGATACCGAAGGGTCTAGCACCGGAAAGACTAAGCAAAAGGACTTGGGTAGTAGCAGCAGTGGTGGAAGAACTGCAGACCAACCGGAGAGACCAATAGATAAAGCGCGATCCAAAGAGATAAGTAAGTCAGGAAAGGCAGCGGGTGAAACAATAACAGAGCGCGGTAAGAGAGGGCGTCCTCCCAAAGTGCCACGAGATACGGACACCAAGGCTTTGGCAAAGGCGTCAACTGCGGATGCTAATGCAGAGCCCACACTGCACCCGCCAGCCTTGCAGCCGAAGTCAAATGAGCTTCTTAAGTTGCAAAACTTTGCAGTTTCATATGTACCGCAGCGACAAGCTGCCAAGAAGGCCGCTGAGCAGCTGAAGAGCAGTGGCATCGTTAAACCGGTCACAGAGCAGGCCAACGAAACTGAAAAGGAGCGTAGCACCGTCAGCGAAAGGGAAGCCACAGGTACCACGCCAAATAAACAGAAGAAGGAGGAACAGCGATCGTCCTCAACGGCAATAAAGCAACAACAAACGACACCTGTGCGAAGATCATCAATCAAGGAGAGCCAGACAACGCCGGCACGCAATCGGCGTCGTTCCAAGGAAGACACAACGCCCACGTTGTCAAAATCATCGGCCGTGAAACGCCGTGTAGTAGCAGAAGAGCTGAAGCTTTCGAGCTCTAGTTCGGGCAGTGACAGTTCCTCCTCAAGTAGCGATGACGCCGACGGTAGCAGCTCTAGCAGCAGTGGCAGTGACTCTGACTCAGATTCTCAGGCAAGCGATGCTGAAAAGCGTTCGAGTGCAGCGCCAGTGCTAAAGCGTTCGCCCCGAAAGTCTATTGACAAGGTGCCGCCGCAGCCTCTACCGCCGCCACCACCAACGGTCACGGCCTCGCGTACACGCCAAAACTCCACAACTAAATCACCAAAAACGACGCCGCAAAAGACAACTCCTCAGAAAGCGAAACCTCAGCTAGCGCGAAACATCAGTCAGACAAGCAGCAGCAGCAGCGGCAGCGCCACGGGCGAGGATCAGGCAACGACACCTACAACGCCGAAGTCTGCTACCCGACGCAAATTATCCATAGATGACAGGAAACAGTCTCCGGTGAGTCCCGAAAAGGACGTAACCGTAACAAGGCCGAAACGTGCAACGCGCGGTTCAAAGTCTCGGCCGCCTTCACCTTCACCAGTGCCTCAGACCACTCCGGAAACGGTGACGCCGAAAACTCCTGAGAAGCATATAATGGCGAGTGCGCCGAGACGCAAATCACGTGCAGAGTCACCTAAATTGATACCAAACTTGGAGCATGAAATTGCGCAACGGAAGGCGGCGAACACGAAAGGGACAATGACGCCCAGCAAGCAGAGTTCGCTTGACAAGCTCCTCACCAAGAAACAGCAAGAAATTAGTCGGATAAGTGCAGTGCCAGTGCTAGTGTCAATGCCAGTTCCAGTTCCGGTTGCAGTGCCGTCTGCAGCATTATCGCCAAGGGAGCAGAGTATCCCAGAGCATCAGTCGATTGCTATGATCGACACCAGTAAAGAGGCCGGTGAGGTGCCAATGGACATAGACGAGGAGCTAACGACAGCACCCACTCATACACAACTCTCAGCCAATGCGAGCAAGTTGGCGGAGCTGTCAGCAGACATTGATGAGCGACCGCCGGCGGCCCCGCTCCCTGCGTCACCAACCCCCACACCATCGGATGACGAGTTGTCCAATGCCAGCGATCTATCTGAAGGGGAGCGACGCAACAGTCGCCGTCGCTCAAGACGCTGGCGACGCCGAACTAGAGGCAGTGGCAGCACGCCACTCTCGCCTGAGGAGGAGGAGCATACGCATCACACCCAACACCTGCTGAACGAAATGGAAATGGCTCGCGAGCTGGAAGAGGAGCGAAAGAATGAGATGGCCAATGCAAGCAAATACTCAGCTTCGACATCGTCGCCTGCAGTTACAGTTGTGCCACCAGAGCCACCGGAGATTATTGAGCTCGATTCGAATTCGAATTCAGGTGAGCCGCAGCCAAAGATGAGTGATCCTGTCGAGCCATTGACAGTCACACCGGCATTGCAACCGCCCACGCTCCCGCCTGCACTACAGCCCGAACAATTGGCGGATCTTGACTCTACCCACCATCCCATAGTGGACACCATACTGGAAATGGAGGACAGCAAGCAGCAGGATGCGTTGCAAAGCTCTACCAACTACACGCCCAATGTATCAAGTGTTCTCAATCCACCAGGTCAGTTGGATTTGCTTGCTAGTGGGGTGCTAGCCGCCGTCGACGGCAACAAGCAGATCTCTGAATCTCAAGCTACGGCGACACTGCTGGAGAAACTGCGCAAGACTAAGCGAAAGACACATGACGACACTTTGAAGGACGCGGTCGATCTGCCACCGCCCACGCCGTCCATTCCCTCTGTATATCCGTTCCACAATGCTGCGGATCCCGAGGATATAATACACGCACAAAAGGAACAGCAGCAGCAACAGCAACAACAGCAGCAACAGCTTCAAACAAGCAACAGCTGTCTTTTTGGCACAAGCAACAGTGCACCCAGCTCCGTTGCTATGACGATCAAAGATTCGCCCATTACGGCCAACAGCGGCAGCTACGGTAATAGTCTGACCAACACGCCCAATGTGACGCCAACAAATGCGCCCAATAACAACAGCAGTGGGGGCAGCCATCTGAGTTATAACGAACACACCCTACCCGTCCCACAACCTTACCAGGCACCGACAGTGGCCCAGATGAACTTTCTGGATAAACAATTGGACAAGCAGCAGATACCTGCGAAGCAGAACTTTAACAAAACTCTGCCCAGCAACAACGGCAACAACCAGGCGCCTGATTTCGTAGATCTAGCCGCAGCCGCTAACAAGAACAATCTGCTTTATGCCGGAACCGGTGCAGCTATGCCGCCCACAGTGAACAACAAAATAGGAGTTTCTGGAGCCACCGATTGCGATTACGACGAGAATACGCGTATGCAGTCGCCATTTGGCGCAATGCAAGGACCACGCATCTGGAACGAGAATGATCTAATAGCGGCGCGGCGTTCATCATCGCCCAGCTCCGTGTCGGAGTCAAATGATCAGCCAGCAGCATCAGCTGCAGCTACTGTGATGGATGCCCAGCTACAGGGTTGCAAGACCTTTTTTGGTAGTTATGGTCTGGGCGCAACGAATACGGGCACGGGTTATAATCACACCCCACTGGTAAATGGCATCGATGCTCTGATGTACAACAATCAGCCGTATGCCGCACAATCAGCGCAGCCTACAACACCGCAACATACGCCTCAGCAGACGCCGCAGACGCAGACACAACAGGCCCAGACGCCACAGCAGTGTACACCAACTAATGGCAACAGCCAGTACAATGGTGGTAGTAGTGGGGGAGGCGGGGCGAGCGGGCTTTATAACCAAATACCGTATGCGGCCACCACGCCCACTATGTTCCCACAACCCACACCGCCGGCTCCATCTCAGCAGCAGCAAGCAGGCGACTCTAGTCAAAATCTTTACGGCAACGGAGCAGCCACTCAGTCCCAATATGCTGGCACGCCCTATAACACGCCGAATATGTCGCTGACTGCATCCCTATTACAGCAATCGCCACACCAACTGCAGCAACAACAGCAGCAGACGACGCCCAACCATCAGTATTGTCTGACTTCACCGGTCGACGGTATGCCAGCCTATCCGGCTGCATTGCTAAATAGCTGTGCGGAAGCCTCAATGATTTCGCATGCGCCACACACGCCGGTGATGCCAGCAGTGCCACCTCAGCCGAATGCCCCCATGACACCTACAAAGGAATCTCCCACTAAACGGAATTCGGTGCAACAAAAGCAGCACAAATCGCCGCAGATGCCACAGCACAAATCACCGGGCAAGTCACCGCGCCGCATGGAGCTGCTTAACAAGCAATTGCAGCAGCAGCAACAACAACAACAGCAACCACCACCCACTCCGCCACAGCAGACGCTAGCCGACTATAGCGTTGCACCCGCCCAACAGCAGCAGCAGAAGCAGCAAACACCAACAAACAAGTATGATCCGCTTACGCATACGCTCGCGGGAAAGCCGCGGCAGCGGGCCCCACGAGGTGCTGGTGCGGGAGCCGCAAGGGCTAGGGGACGTGGTCGTGGGCGCGGACGGGGAAGTTCATCATCCAATGCCATGTTGCCGTTACCGCCGCCAATGGCCGACTACGGCAGCAATACTCAAATAGTCAATGCACTAGTGGGCACACCCTTTGAGTTCAACACGATTGATGATCTGGTTGTGCCCGGCGTGGAGAACCTGCAATCATTACGGGATCGGCGCCGGAGCTTTGAGATACGCGGCGGTCATACCCCAGCGCCCGGATATGCAAGTTGTAAGATGCGTCCATCTGCCGCTCAGGCGGGCGGTGCTTTGAAATCCACACCTACAGGAAACGCGAGTGGGGCTCAAAGCTCCTCATCGTCATCATCGCTATTGCATTCGATTGTACAACCCGTTCTGCCGGGGCCAGTGGATATGCGTACCTATAACTTGGGTTTCGAGGCCCCACACAGCAGTGCTTCCCAGGAGGCCTACAACAACAATCTGTTGGGCGCGTTCGACTCGGGTACGGCGGATCAGACACTCTCCGAGTTCGACGAAGAGGATGAACGTCAATTCCAATCGGTGTTGCGCGCCACTGGCATATCGAGCAGCAAGCAGCCATCAACGTCATTGCCAAGTGTACCCGTGACGTCGTCGACATTAACGACGCCTATCGCACCATCGCCTTCAAAGAGCAACAACAACAATTTGTTGAACAGTGCCCTGCATTCGACGGAGGCAAATCAAGCTGCTCCAAGTACAACGGCAGCGCCGCAAACGCTAGTCTCCGAGCTGTTGGTGCCACCAACGGAGGCCTCCATGGAAGCCACATCAGAGGAGGTGTCGATAGACTCTGACACCACGCTTGCAACCAAGGCATCGCTCTCGGATTCGCGCAATCAGCTTAAGCTTAAGATTAAAGGACCACTCGCATACCCAGATCATTACAGTGCCGTAACCAATACCTCTTTGTGCAGCACCACCGTGGTCCAGTCCAATGCCGGCGGCAATATCGTACAAACCACCGTCTCAGCACAGATGACAGCTACAGTGGTGAGCGCAACTGCATCAGCTGGCGGCGGCAGTAGCAGCAGTGGCGGCATGAACTCTCGACGCATGCGCAAAAAGGAGCTCCTCAGTTTGTATGTGGTGCAGAAGGATACGCTGATGGATGATTCGTCCTGCGGACTACCGGCTGCCTCAGACAGTTTGCCGCACGAGACTGTGCTGCGTAAGTCAGACGCCAGTGAAGTGGATGATGAAATCTCTGCGGCCGGCACTTCCAAGCGCTTCAAAAAGAACTCAAGTCGTGAGTTGCGTTCGCTGGATGCCACCGTCATCATAGACGATCAGAATACCGGCTTGCCAGCGGGCGCAGATGGACGAAGACGCAGCGCATGCTCATCCGGCAGCAATGACAATACAAAGACCGGAGTAGCATCGAGTGCTGGAAAGAGACGTGGCCGCAGCAAGACTCTGGAAAGCTCCGAGGATGATCATCAGGCCCCCAAGTTAAAGATCAAAATACGAGGCTTGCCGGCTGGTGAGCTGCCGTTGCCAAATATGGGCTCCGCAGGCGACACCAGCTATGTATATGAGATGACACGTCGTGCCTGTCCACCTAAGAAACGCCTGATGTCCAACTACCCTACGCCCACGCTCGAAGATCTGAAGCGCGATTCGATGAACTATCGCAAGAAAGTCATGCAGGACTTTGATAAAGGTGAGGACAAGCGATCAACAGTCGAGGAATCTCTGCAGGCGCCTACAAAGAAGAACAAGTCGTCGAAGCCCAAAAAGGACAAAAAAGAAAAGAAGCGCAACAAGCTGGGCCATATGCAGACGGCAAGCACCACCACGACCATGACGACGACTCTGATTGAGAGCACGGCCAGTGCTTCGCCCGGAGACAAACCAAAGCTAATAATGCGTTTTGGTAAGCGAAAGGCTACTGAAACAATAGCTCTCCCACCGCCACCCGCAGCCCCAGTAGAAATTGAGAACTCAACGACAGCACCTAAGCAAAAGGAAGCGCCGCTTCGTCTAAAATTTGCACGCGTTTCGGCCGGCGGTGGATATGTGATTGGTGCCAAAACCGAAGCGAAAGAACCCCCGGCTGCTGCATCATTGACGTTGCAGCGCGACGAACTGCTAATGCCCCTGGCCAATTGTGGTGTATCTGCTGGTGAACGTGGAGCGGAACAGCAACAACTGCAGAACTCGGAAGCCGCCTCACCCGCTCAACTGCTCAACAGTTTTACGCCGCATTCGCAGAACGCGAACGCATCGCCAGCACTGCTGGGCAAGGATACGGGTACGCCGTCACCGCCCTGTCTTGTCATTGATTCGAGTAAGAGCGGCGATGTCCATGATTCCACTTCCCTGCCAGATGGTGGCGGAGTGGTGGTCGGTCCCACGACACCGCTTTGCGTGAATGTCGGCAACTATGACAACAGCAACAATTCACTGCCGTCAGCCAGTGGATCCGGGTCTGGTTCCGGTTCTGGCTCTGGCTCCAGCAATTCCTGCAATAGTAACTCAAACAACAACAACAATAGTAATAATAACAACAACAACAGCAATAGCAGGGGCGGTGGAGGTGGCGGCCTACTTCCATTGAAAAAAGACTGTGAAGTTAGATGATAATCATAAATCGATTTCGGTTGACTTCCCCCCACTTCCAGCAGTAGATTAGAATGAACTACTACTTCTTCTCCTCCTCCTTCATTTACTCTTCTACTCTACTACTTATGTATGTATATCTCTCAGACTTACTGTTCTGTTTCTTTTTATGATTTCGCTGCCGCTGATTTCTGCATTCTGCATTTAGGGTTTCCTTTGCCTTTGTAAGGGAACCTCCTCTGATGCCTGTACAATATTTGTGTTGTAGAGAAAAGAGGGGGAAGCGCGGAAAGAGTTCGGTGGTGCGAAATCCTTTACTTTGTACAGTTAGCTTGTAAGTTTTCCCTGTCGTCTGTCATTCTTCATTCGGTTCTTCATTGGGTTCGTTGTAATTTCGAGTGCACAAGAAGAGAGGTATTTAATACACACATCTATCTATCTATCTATCTATCTATCAATCAATCAATCAGAAAAGAAACAAACACACACACACACACACACAAACGAACACACGTATGTATATGGCTATACATTTAAAACTACATTTTGTAGATTGAAAATCCAAATGCTTGGTTTGTAAGCGAATGGGTTCCACCTACGACCGAGAGACACAGCTCCTTCCATAACACACAACTCATATTAAAAACTAAACATGTATTTTAACTATTTATTTATTAATATTCTATATAAATAAAAAGCAAAAACCCATGGGATGCGATATAAAACAAACAAAACAGCTAAGCATTAGCAAAGCAAAAGCAAAGAAATCAAGTTGTTTAAAGCGTGCAACAATTGTAGCCTATAGTCATTAATTGTAGTTCTTAGATAAAATTCGCTGCTTGGCGTGGCCGCATCTCTAAGTGCATATGAAACTCTAACTAATACATAGAAGCATACAAAATACAACAGCAACAGCAACAAAACAAGCGTGTTAAAGGGAATAACATAACATAATTAAGAAAAGAGTGTCAAAAGCAACTGTAAAGTAAACAAAAAAAAAAGTGCACTGGTTTTGTATATTTATTAAGGCACCTGTTGCCTCAGGCAAAGCAAAGCAGAGTAAAAAAAAAACATAAATATAAATATTAAAAAGTTCAAAAAAAAAAAGAAGAGAAGAAATAAGGAAACATAGACCAGCTACACATAGCATTGCAGATATTGCGCATTGAGAAAAATTAAGTTAATGAACATAAAAACCAACCGTACATGATTATTCCAAAAAATACAAATATGTAACGAGAAGAGCGGGAAAGCGTTATTCTAATTGAATAAGTGTGTAATTGTAAATAATTGTATGCAAGAAATGTTTATACATAATTACTACTATTACGTTAAATGTAATTATTGATTAATTATTATGATTATTAATCTTAAATTGTAGCTTTTAGACAAATTTAAATAAAAACACAAAAGCCTTATTTAAAAAAACAAAAAACAACAACAACAAAAAAGCAACAAACTGCAAGAAAAACAGCACCCCAACAAATTTACTTTTCAGCGTCAGCGTCAGGTTGCTATTCCGTAAAGCTTAAAACGCAACCCAGATTCCAGCTCCGGACATAAAATAGATAATTTGAAACTGAATAACACAAAGAATAGATTCCGAAAATTTGTTCGAAATTAAGAATTAAAAGTCAATTAACAACAAAGAACCCAAACGCAAGCAAACAATAAATTCAAACGCTTTTCGGATGTTTTCGAAGCCGGAACGCACTGAAACGCCTTGATGCCGTTTTTCCGAAAAATAAAGCAATAACTATCCTTATAATTAATAATTATAATAAAATAAAAAATACCAACCTCTTTATATATATAGTAGGCATCGAAATGATATGATGATGTCCATAGCTATTGATTTGTTTTGTATTTAACATTTTTATAGGGCGACGCCATATCAAATCGTTAGCGTTGAGATTTTAAGAAGCAGCAGCAGGAAGGTTTAACAGAAAGACCAACTTTATAAATATATATATATATACATACATATATATATATATAGCATGTAGTTTGTATAATAATAAATGGGCAAGCAGGAGAAAGAGGAAGCAGTTAGTTATTACATAAAAAGAAAAGAAAACTCACGTTAGCTACTTGGGACTATCGATCAACCTCTCTCATGCCTAAACACAAATTTTTTCTCAAACGAAAATCGACATATAGTGCATATAGTATATATTAAGAACTAACAATAAGTATTACATAAGTGTTGAGATATGACAACAGTTAAGTATGTATGTATGCGGTCGAATTATGGCACTACTTACTCCGAAATTCGAGATATTTCATATATTTTAATAAGATTTGGGACTGTGCGAATCGAAGCATTTGAGAGCAGGGTCTTTAAATAACTCATACAGTATGTTAAGATCGTTTGTTTTCGCTGAATCCCCTACCCCTCTTCCCCACCCCCTTCCCACGCATCATCGAGAGTGGTAAAAAAAGTAAAGTAAGTTTTTAATAATTAAAGAAAAGATAACTTGTACTGCTGTCTAGTGTAAATGCCTCATAATGTAGAACTACAGAACAACAACAATCTAAACAACAGCCTAGTAAATCCAAATATTTTAAACGAAATTTTTGTATTAGTACGCATGTTATACAATATATTATTATTAATAATTGATATTATTTTTAAAGTATAGATTAAAAATGTATAAATAACTGATGTAAAAAAGTGGAAATCAACAAACCAACTTATAGCATTAAGCTGTATTATAAATTAACAAATATAGAAAAAATTATACATAAATTGTGGAAATTCCCATTTCCGTTTGTTTTATTTGGCCTCTCAGTAACAATACACGTTTACGTCGATTTTCATTGCCATATTTGTATATATTATATATTCTTTTATACAGTTACATAGATATACGTTAGATTTTAGATATATAGTTTTTACAGCATCGAGCTAACTCGAAAGTTTCAATTCAAAAAATTCAAGTGGGTTTGTTTTTGGAGAGTTACATAACTAGTTGCGGAGCTTGAAGTCCGGCCCAGGCATGCCATATTTAAAGAACGTATTTTTGGCCTCAATAAATTTTATTCTACTATATGTACTGTTATATATTTTTGGGTGCACTCTATCGAAAAATGAGATTTGTTTGTCTGTAAAGTATGTCTATATTGTGTATGGAACTGAGAAAGTTGAGGGCTCATTACTAAACAAAATATCTATATGTCTTAGTTGCTCTACTCTCTGAGAAGGGAACTTGCACTCTGATCTCTACTTATTTGTAAATGTTATTATAATTTTGATTTTATTATTGCATCTGGAAGTTGAACTTTTACGTAAGCTGCTGGTGCTCCGATTAGGTTTTCAGGGCTGGCTGTGCTATTATTGGATAGAGAGTCGATATATCTATTTTAAATTGTCCCCATCATGGTTTTCCACTAATTTCAGTAACATAAATTACACTATTTACACAACTACTTGAGTGGTTCAGTTTTGAAAATATTCGAAGGGTCGTTTTTATTTGTCTGTCTGATTTCGCTTTTGATCAAATGAAGGACCAAAATTTATCTTTTCTTTTTTGTTTATATTAACAACTGCACAAAATATATGAATATTATATGTTTTGTATATATTTATATATAGAGAGAGAATTGTTTTGGTAAGCGTAATTTGCAGGATCTTTACTCTATATAGATGTCCTCGATTGGATAAGCGGTTTCGATGAATTTCTGATAGAAACGTTGAAAGGCGCGACTGTTGAGCGAAGAAAAATTACAATTATTCCAAAGATCTACTAATTGAGATCAAGATCTTACCCAACAGCCTCGGCGACGGGTCTTGTAGACTCGGAACCCTTGAAGACATGACAAGCAAAACGTTGTACAGTGGGATGCTTAGTTATAAATCCAATGAACCGATGATCTCTTGGATGAAATGCGCAGAATGAAACATTCTTCAGAGAGTAAAAATAGTCTATGCATGGCTTCTTCTCCTTTTTGTTCTGTTCAATGGTAAAACATATAGTACTATAGTTGATGAAATCATTCAGATCATCTGGTGATAGGTACTCACATTTGGTGCCGAGCGATCGACCATGCGTAGACCTTGATCAGATACCTCTAGGATGCAGGTCTGCCCTATCGGGGAGTTGCCGTATTCACCGACAATTTTGCGCACTGCTTGGCACACCACGCCCGTACCCTTGTGGGCCAGCGTCTCCACTGAGCCCAAGTAACCCAGTAAGTAGCGCTCCTTCTTCACTAGTTGAACCGTCGGATCGAACTCGTTGTAGTCCAAGTCTACGGCATAGGCCGATGGAAAGATTCCCTGTCGACCTGTTCGCAAATTAACGCCTTCACACCACAAATCATCGGCCTCCTTCTGCACGTAGATGGCATCGCCTATTTCAAGCTCGATCTCGTCCTGATGACGCGGCACGAATTTGTGCAGACCCCGATGAGTGGCTTCCAGCATCTCTAGCTGACCAAAGGGGACACCGCCGAAGGGTGGCGGAAAGGGAGATTGGGACACAGGTGATGTTATCTGCGGCGACATGCTCTTGAAATCGTTCGGAGAGTGGGCCGTGCTGTGGCCGCTATCCACATCGCCCAGACTCTGCAATCGCTCTGAATCGGGGCTGGAGTCCTCGTCCAGCAAATAGCCGCACTTGAGCGTTAGAAATGAGCGTTGCTGACAGGGGCGCTGTGCATTTGGTCCGCTCTTGAACTCACCGACCAACTGATTGTGGTTGCCATAAAGGGATGTGCCATTTGCTGTGGAGCCAGCACCTAAAAGATGAAGAATGGAAGCTGGAAAGGGTCAGGAGTATATGGGGTTACTCTACGTTTAGGGCGGGAGACTAATCAACTAAAAGCATGCTGGGCACAACCAGAGATAATGAGAAATTATAACTACTACTTACATTTTTTATCCTTGGGTATTTCGGGAAGCTTACGTCGACGTCGCAACTGCTGCTGCTGATGGGTCCCGGCAGAGTTCGGAGTCAACAGGAATTGACTCTCACTGCAGTTGCTGCCCACCCCACCCATGGCATCTTGATGGTTAAGCGGATGATGGCGATGCGAGTTGAAGGAATCGTTTGTGTCCAGCGAACCGTCCGACGAGAGAGACACCACTTTTAAGCCATCGCCCAACTCATCATCCTCCACCTGCTGGCGCTGAAGCTTCGCATCCACGCTCACCTCCTCCTGATCGGAGGCATCGCTCTTCAACGACTGTGTATCCTCCAGCTCATCATTTGGTATTAGCCTAGAGATGGGAGGTAGGTAAAAGAAAGCATTAGCCCGCATTGATTTATCCAGCACTCTAGCTGGTTCCGGAATTTCTTTAATTCCCTCTTCCAATTCGTACTTACGAATAAAATGCCTGCGGACTGTTCTTGACGCCCACACCTGCATTGAAGGTTGCAATTGTGTGTGATTGAAATATGGGCCGATGGAACTCCTCGAATTCACTGTCGGCCATGTTTTTCTAAACTGGGCTACGCCCAGGTATCCTCTCCGAATCTTGCACTTCCTTCACTGCGCGCACTAAATAGCAGCGCCTCAAAGACTGAACGACTTTACAGGAATCCCGATTTCAATTTTCTTCTCGCCGTCACAGTCGAATTTAATATTTTTCACTTCACATGTGAAAATCAATAATTTCCTTGGCGTCGCGTCGTTCTTCTTCAGTTCAGGGCTCCGTTTGACATTCAGAACAACTGACAACTGCCAACCTCCATATACCAGTATACTTGTAATGTCGCCACACAGCAGGGAAATTTTTGCAGTCACTCTCTTTCCTATAACTTGTTTTTGTTTACAACTCAACAACTGCCCGTTTTGGGGCAACCGGTGCATGGGGTCTGTGTCTGTCCAATGGTGGTTGAAAAGTTGCGAGCATGCGCCCTTCCTTCTTTGTGTTTTGCATTAAGGGTGACTTCTGTGGATGATGTTTGATATATTCGCAGGACTAGCCAGTCGATGTGGCCTCAGATTGCATTTCAAATGCGCAACAAACGATGTTGAATTCGCTTTATGGGCAGGGTAGGGCACAGTTCTAGCAGCTCTGATCAAAACTTCTTCACAAATATGCCATGCATTTGAAAATATTCTACTCTACTTGTATTATAGACTAATTTTCTTTTTCACAAATACGAGTATTTCATCTTAAAATTCAAATCAGTTCTTGAAATATTTCAATTTTGAAAAATCTCTTTGAGAATATCTGACAATTCATTTCAAAATATTTTTTAACTCTGGACTTGTTTTCAACTTATTAACTTTTTCTTACAAAAGAAAGTTGAAATCATTTAGCTCCAGTCTGACTCTTAAATACTGTTCAAGGTTATTAGAAAGCGTAGGGACACAGACATATGTACATATTTATTAATATATTACCATTACGATCGTACGTACTGATTTACTTATTAGAATTACAATCGATAGTTCAAAATATAGCAAATATATAATAATTATACTATTATTATAATAACATACACATATTATAATAATAAATGATATTGGAAGAAAATTCAAACATGAACCATCTTATGCGGAACTATAGTTTTAAATTGGAACACCCCGAAAATTGATATAAGAAACAAGAAAGCAATGCTAAAGTCGAGCAGGCTCAACTTTTAAATACCCTGTACCTCCCACCAAAAAGGAAAAGAGAAAAAAAATTGTAATTTATTTTAAAAAAAAGTATATCTATATATATGTTACATACATTCGCACAAAACTAGTGTAGCCTTTCACCCTTTGGGTACAGGCTATAAACATTTCAATTTCCTTTCACATTGTAGGTGAGCAATAAGAAATGGGTTCGGAAAATTTGAGCTCCAGGGAGAATGGAAAATGTGTATGTGTGTTTATATGTACCTAACATAATTTGCTACTGGGTAGTTCCTATAGGAACTTTTCAGGAAATGAGCGGGGAGAAATAGTATAAAATAAATAAATAGAGCCCTGCTTGTTCTTAATATATTATTAATGCTGAAGTATGAACTAAAAACTAAAAATGTATTCATTGCTCCCCAACCCAATATATTGGAATATTGTTGTGTAAGTTTGAAAATACATTTCCCTGATTTCCTATTGACAATTTGCAAAGATTTGGTTGCACTTCATTTATAGTTCCAATGTTGAAAATATTTGTCCATGCATCCATAATATTGTTTGTCAAGAAAAATGAATAAATACATTTACAAATAGCTAATTTGTGTCATGTTCAATTTTCTTAAACTATCCTTTACTGAAAGGAGTTGCTAAATTGCCGACAAATGCTATTCAAATCAACTTAAAGCCACCTCTTCGTCTCTTGCCTTTCCTTCACTTCCCTTCCCCACCCACCAGCTCGACATCGTCTTGACTCATTGCATATTAGCAGCTGAAATTAAATTATTCCGAAATCAACAAAATCACAAACGCCATTCATATTCATGGCTGTCAGGACTTCTCGGCAGAGCTAGTGCATGTACTCTTATACATATGTATGTGTGTGCGCCAAGCTCCGCCCCTTGCTTTTCATCATCCTGCTGGTAAACACTGCTGTAGCAACGCGTTCTCCAAACTCGGATGCGTCTGTCCTTCGAGGAGGCTGCCGCCTCATTCATACGAGTATGTGCAACACATCGAAAGAATCAAACAACCCCCCACCCCAATAAATCAGGCCGAATTGTGGCTTTCCTTTTTCTCGAACAACCTGAGGGAGAGAGCCCAAAGAAATCACTTTAAGTGTCAGTTTCTTAAAAGGTCGGTCAATCAGTTAGTCAGTCAGCGCCAGTCCCGCCTCGGCCCGCGCATATTTTAATAACAGCAAAGTAGCTCGGTTCCATTGTCGTCAGCATCCTTGCTCTTAACATGGCCACTGTTTGCTTTTCTCGAGGCGCAAACAAGCGCACGGTAAAAGAAATTGCCATTTTATCTATTATTGACCGAGAAGCGGTGGCGAAACGCTTCAGCGCATTATCGAGCCAAAGCATCAAGTGGTTGGCCGTCAGAGTTATACAAATATCTACATACACATACTAGGACTCGTACAGTAAAAGGGGGCTGCTGTGCAAAGCATTTAAGGGACAATTCAACACACTCCCTCATATAGATAACAAGAAGTTAACCCTGCACTGCAAAAAACTGCCAATATTTCACATGTCGATTTTTCTCTACTCTTTTAAAAATTACAAGATGATGAAATTTTGGTTCAATTTTAGGATTATGCCTAATTATTCAAATTTTAACTGGCCTATTTTTAGCTATATGTGTATTACAAATTTAGCTTTCTATAGTGTTTTATCAAATTATAAAAGAGAAAAGAAATGTCTTAATCTGAATGGCGCGCCAAGTCGATATAGCCATGTCCGTCTGTATGAACCCAAGAATCTCGTAAAGTATAAAAGCTCGAAGAACCAAACATGGAATACAGATTCTCCTTGGTAGGCAGTGCTTGTTTGTCAAGTTACATCGTGAAAGGTCAATTCTTGTTTGAATCTTACGAGTAACTATCGACATGGAATAGAAAAGTTTCTTTGATTTTTAAGTTATGGAAAAGCAACAATAAGAAGAGGTGCTGCAGTTTTGGGGATTTAGTATTCGCTAATAATGGAATGGAATTGGAATTGGCAATAGAGAATGATAGATGCATATGTAATTATGCAATGTTTGGTCTAAGTAGCTTTGGAATTGGGAACAGCTTCAAGATTAAAGGGGAAGGGTAATTATATCTTTCTGGGGGCTTAGCCCATTTAAGCATGCAGGAAGAACACACATCTAGATTGATTTGTTTCGTCCTTCTGATTACGAATATTTATATACCCGTATATGTACATTACTGTGTGGGTGATTATAGATGTATACATTTGTCTTTTGGGACAGTGGCTGTTTAAACATTAAAGCCTAATGGTTAAGCTGTTGGGCACCTTTCATTATATTTGTAGAGCTAAAATACGGGCTTCTCGCAGCAGTTACTTACCCGCATACGAGTCCCGTTTATGGCTGAAAGCGCACGCAACTGAAAGTCAAATACAGATACATTTAAAAACGACTCAGTCAGCAACAGGCGCTTAAAGTTGCTGCTGATTAGAAAGTGAAATGCAAAAGTTGCAAAGTGTTTTAAATGACGTCACGCATAGTCCTGACTCCAGCATGATTTTGCCAATCAAAGCGAGCCAAACAAAAGAGATAGCCCCCGAGGACGAGAAGGGCGAGGAGGCGGAGAGCTGGTGGAGTCGACGAATCGAGAAAAAGTCACTTGTAGCTTTTATATCCTCGAACAAATACAGCTCGCTACGCACACTTAATGAATACAATTTAATATGTATGTATGCAGCTACACACACACGCACACACACACACACACACAAAGATACATACATGCCTACATAGATACGCACATGCTCAGATACATATGTATCTGTATCTGTTCGGTGGGACTATAAAAGCAAGCAGCAGCAGACAAGGATCTTGCAGTTTCCGTTACGCATACGACGCGTGTGCTCGTTGCCGTCGCTCTTTCCGCCCAACTTGTGAATTCTGTGGATTTGTGGATTTGGATTACATAAGATGAGTGCGTCGGGAAAAAGTCTGCTCGGCCTGTGGCTCTATCGCAGCGGCGAGCAGGAGTGGTCCGTCAAGCAGGGCAGTCCGTTGCACAATCTGAAGAAGGGTTCCGACCACTCGGATTCCGCGCACACCGGCCTCGTCCGACATGTCTCCGCGCCAGCTCATCAGAAAACGGAAAATGTGGGAAAGACCGTTGGCATTGAGGTGTCGCGGCCACCACAAATGCCGGGAGAACGGATTTCCATAATATTTACGTTGAAGAACCAGGTCGGTAATCTGGCCCGAGCTCTGCAGGTCTTCCAGGAATTGGGCATCAACGTGCTCCATTTGGAGTTGTCCCCACTACAGGCGGCCACCAATCAGGCGGATGTGCTCGTGGACGTTGAATGCGACCCCCGACGCTTGGATCAAGTCGTTAAAATGTTGAACCGGGAACGCGACATTGCTTCCGTTAATTATACGACCGTTAGTACGCATAGCTTGGCTCGCGCGCCCTCCCTCTCCGCCTGTTCCAGCTTTGGTGAGCTCGGCCATTTCCGAAACTATGGGTTCTTACTTACGCATTATCTACGTCTATAAAGATTTCGGCGATATGGTGTGGTTCCCGCGCAAAATATCTGATCTCGACAAGGCACAGAATGTCCTCATGTATGGCTCAGAGTTGGATGCCGACCATCCGGGCTTCAAAGATCCCGTCTATCGCAAGCGCCGCGAACAGTTCTCAGCTATAGCGAACAACTTCAAGTAGTAAGTCAACGAGTTACCTATCATTCATACACCCATAAAGCAATGTTTTCAATAAAGGTTTCGGTGTTTCAACTATTTTATGAGTTTGAAACCTTACCCTTGAAATACTTCCACATTCAACAATCTGTGGTTGTAATTCTTGGAATTTAAATCCATGAAAATAATCATCAAAAGTTCATAATGGTTCATAATGCATCCCCACTTTAAAATGAAATTGTCAGACCTATTCAGTTCAGTAAGTTTTTTGGTTTTCTGTGAACATAGATTCTTACACTCGTCAAGCTGTGTTCAATCGTGTTTTTAATATTTCGAAATTAAAGTATATTTAACAAATATTTAATAGTTAATTTTGCTTGTGTAATAAATGACTACAATTTTGGTGAAATTATTTGCGAAATGCTATCATATTAAATTCACATTCTCGGAGGATTACAAAGCAGCGTGATTTTAAGCAGGAACTGTAAGGCCTTTTCCAATTCTGTACGTTTTAAGATTTTTCGAATACTTTTTGGGTCAAATAAACGCATTTTCTAGCATATTTCATGTAATCATAGAAGAGTCTAAAGCCAATGAAATATAGATAATTAACTATTTTATGATTTATTTGAAACCTTGAAACTTATTAAATAGTCTTTAAGAAGAGCAAAAGGACAGGTAAATGGGTCACCAGTTGTGACTGTGTTCTACTAAGGAAGGAGTAATGTGTCAAAATTAACAAGAGAGAACGCTACAGCCGAGCAAGCCCGACAGTGTAATACCCTGTATCCAGGTAAACTTCCGTCACTGAGTTATATGCGCCCAAAAATAGGAAGAAGAAGAGCGAACTTGTTGCTGCAGTTTGGTGAGGTTGTACTGTAGAGAATTTGTTTTGCTAATAACTTTTCTTAGAATCGACCGAATTGAATACAATTTTGAACAACATTAGATAATTATATATAAATTATGTGTGAAAAGTTTGGTTTAGGTAGCATTTGAAATGTGGACGCTATTGACGAAATTCTGTAGCGGGGGAAGGGGGGGAAAATTAAAAAAAAAAATAAACTCGTCCTTTCTCGGACCTAGGAGAATCTGGATGCCAACTTTGGTTATTCTAGCTTTTATAGTTTCTGAGATCCTCGCGTTCATCCAGACGGACGGACAGACGGACGGACATGTCTAGATCGATTTCTCTCGTCATGCTGATTCAGAATATATATACTTTATGGGGTCGGAGATGCTTCCTTCTGCATGTTACATACTTTGCAAAAACCTAATATACCCTTTTTACCCTACGGGTACAGGGTATAAAAAGGTGCTTGTTAGACAGATTTAAGTTTTGAAAATTTACGTCGCAGATTTTACTGGAACTTACCATACTTGTAGCTCGATTTTTAGTGTCTGAAAAATGGGTCTAATTCAGCTACAATTTTTGACGTGTAATAGGAAAGTAAGGAAGACATAATAAACCTACATATATTATTATACTCGTATTAACTGTAATAGTTTTATCGGCCTAATTTTATTTTATAAAAATTATTCATTTTATTTTTGTAAATCAACCATTTCCTATAAATTAAATCTTAACAATTATCTGATTGTATTACATTAAACAAATTGAAAGTGCATTTAGTACATCGCCTATTTTTGGATTATTCCAACTTATAAGCTACACAAGAATACTACAACATAATACTCAGTTTATGAAGAGTCGAGTTTTTCAACGAACTGAAAATTCTGATAAAATGAAAAACCAAATAGTAATACTAAGAGAAATAAATATTGAATGGAAATTCCAGTTAGTTCGGAGAAAATCGATCAACTAAAATTAACAGAATAAAAGTGTTAAGAGATTTCTAAAAACTGTCGAGTTATAACTTCAAAACTATTTCATGAATTTTAAGAATAGAAATGACCTTGAATAGCTAAAATATTTTCAATTTTGGCAATAAACACTACACAGGTTTAAAGAATGAGCAATAATCAAAATTCACTTCAATGCTTATCCCTAATTGCTGTCCTTTGTTAACTATACATCCTTCCCTCCTAGTGGCGACCCCATTCCTCGCGTGCAGTACACTGAGGAGGAAATAAAAACTTGGTAAGTTCTAAAATGGTAGAATCGATGTTGGTTAAATGTTTTCCTTCAGGGGCACCGTCTTTCTCGAGCTACATCGCCTTTACGTCTTGCACGCTGTGCCGGAATATATGGAGAACTGGCCGGAGCTGGTCAAGTACTGTGGCTACCGGGAAGATAATATTCCACAGCTGCAGGATGTCAGCCAATATCTGAAGCGTAAGACAGGGTTCCAGCTGCGGCCGGTCGCGGGCTACCTATCGCCTCGCGACTTCCTCTCCGGTCTAGCCTTTCGACTATTCCATTGCACTCAGTATATACGTCACTCATCGGACCCGTTCTATACACCGGAGCCGTAAGTGGTCAGCGCTTGCTGTGCTTTGAAATAGATGTGAAGAGTTCTTCCCCAATGCAGCGATTGTTGTCACGAACTTTTGGGTCATATGCCCCTTCTGGCCAACTCGAGTTTTGCGCAGTTCTCTCAGGAGCTTGGATTGGCCTCCCTGGGCGCCACGGATGCCGACATCGAGAAGCTGGCTACGGTTGGTGGGACGAGGCTATGGTTGCGGCAGAGCTTCATTAACTTCCTGTACTCGACAGCTCTACTTTTTTACGGTGGAATTCGGACTTTGCAAGCAACCGGACAACAGTTTCAAGGTCTATGGCGCTGGCCTGCTGAGCTCTGTGGCGGAATTGAAGCACGCGATTGCAGCGGATGAGAAAATCAAGAAGTTCGATCCCGACGTAACGTGCAAGGAGGAGTGTATTATCACCTCCTATCAGAATGCCTACTACTACACGAGTTCCTTCGAGGAGGCCAAAGAGAAGATGCGGTGAGAATCAGAACCAACTAGAAACAACGACTTCCGCTCTATAAGTATATTAACAGGTTTGAAATAAACTTTAATTTTATTTGATGGGATCATTTTTGAAGAAGATATTTGAGCTGTTGTTTTTATAGCTTCCACTCTGTATATTAATAGGTGTAAAGTAAAGTTAAATTTTATTTGATGGGATCGTTTTTGAAAACGATTGCTTAACTTTTATTTGTAGATCTTTTTTAACATTCCTATATGCAAAGAAAACACAACCGTAATCACGTCTTCGAATCTCGCTGTTATAAAGTGCGATGAATTGATAATATTAATAATATACAAGTAAAATTAATAGGTTTAAAAGGCTTCGAAAATTGGAACTGGTATTGCGGCATTTCTGTTTTTTTAATGAGTCTCAAAAATAAATTCGAAACGTTGAGGCACTGCTTCCTTCTTGATGATAATTGCTACTGGAACTTACTTGCAGGGCCTTTGCGGACAGCATTCAACGTCCTTTCGGAGTGCGCTATAATCCCTACACCATGAGCGTGGAGGTGTTATCAAATGCCCAAAAGATTACCGCTGCGGTCAGTGAGCTCAAGGTTTGTACGAGTATGCCCGTATTAGTTAATACGTAGTGTATATATTTGTAAAACGCAATCAGATAGTCGTCTAGTCGTAGTCTCTGCTAACCTCCAGTAAGGTGAACAATATTTGTTTTACTCATACTATAAATACATTTGAAGGGGGACCTAAGTATTGTGTGCTCGGCGCTGCGCAAAATATCGGCCACCGATGAGAATCTCGATGTGGACAGCATAGCCAACATGTTGCACAACAGCCTGAAGGTTCGTGCCGATGGCGGAGCAAGCGGGGAGCGGACACCGGTCAGCCCGGTGGGCACCAGTCCGGACAACTCATCGCGCTCGCCGGATGACGAGGAGGACTAAAGCCAGAGGGGCTTTCTTTACTTCAATGCTCGGGACCACATTATTATTACTCTAGCTTACCGATATCCCCTATACTAACCGACCGTGTATACTTTCTGTTGCTGTTGCTGTCGTAGTTGTTGTTGTTTCGCAACTTTATTTAGTGGCCATTTGAACTTATGTTATTATGTATAAACTACTTGTATGATGTATTTAAAATGTTAACTTAATTAATAAAACCCATCAAGATGCTTAGCCTAAACTTATTTGTAAATCATATCACAGTCGCTGTTTATAAAGAACTTCTTACTTATGTAGCTGGAGGTGTATTCGATGAGATAGTTTGGAATGGTCCACATATCGAATGCATGGGACATTGTCCGCCACTGCTTCAGCACAAGTCTCACATCATATTTGTGCATCCAAGGCCAGGTGAGGCGTCTCGTTATCCGACTGGTGGCGCGACGCACTATTCTGCTGGCCAGCGCAATGACTCCGATACGTTTTCGGGGTCTGGAGACAGATGTATCCCCAGCTCCGGCTCCAGCCCCGGCTGCAGTGAGGGCACGCTGTTGTTTCGCCTTGGAGGGCTTAGAGGCTTCGATTTCCGGCTTGACTTCGACGCGTGGGGCTATTTGTATGCGATCGACTGTATCGCAGATTTCCTCGTTACTCATCAGTATACCAGCGACGATATACATCAGCTTGAAGACCCTATAGAGAACAATCGGACGATTACACACTCCAATATTCCCACACACACAGATACACACACACAAACCTCATTGTACGCGACATGATTTCCATAAGATGGCGATGGCGACTAAGGCCAAACAATTATGCTAAGATTTGATTGTGCAGTTAGAGACACTCTTATCAATCACTATATATGTATATATAGCTGCAGATATGTGTGTGTGTATATATAGTTTATTCTATATATATATATATATATATATGTATGTATATGTCTGTATATATGTGGATGGGTGGTATGTTTTCCGAAATCGTCTTTAGCAGGCTCACTGATGCACTATTTATGGGACTTGTATGACTTGTTTCTTGTCTTCTGTATTACCAAAACGATGTACGGTCCTGTCTGTTGCTTGGATCCAACTAAATGCTCGCCATTCCATCGCAATTGCCGTGCATGCGTGGCCTCGACTTTCTCTCGGTCCCTGCTGATAATGTTGCGTTTCGGGGCGATAAGAACAGGTTTCGTTTCTAATGCTTGCAGTCCCGCTCCACAGATATGTATGCCGATGCCTTCGTTTCTTGTTTTTTTTTGAGTTTCTTTTATGTGTCTGGATTAGAGGTCAGCTATGAGTCGGCAGTGGGACCACCAAAAAAAAAAAAAGATCAAATCACGCTCTCCCGCTCTCTCGCCCTCTGACTCAACCACAACGCCCTACGAGTGTTCATATTTGATCGTCTTAGCACCACAGATAGTACTGACATTTCTTATCGATCGAATCATAGGTACTTACTCGTATGTATAGCATTTATGGTGGCGTTAAATGTCGACATGATTACAAGCCACATACGTAATATTCGTGGTCTGTGTGAACTTTGGAACTGGCGTCAGTTAATCTGTACACTCAATAGGCGAGGTACTATACTCTTTTGAATCCACTACTCACCCATAGAAATTATGATGAACAAGCTAGGCAATTATGTATTTAATAATATTTGATCATATATGCATTTATTACATAAAATTACTAGAATTTTCCGATCGTAGTACAACAGGGCCCTTCGATATTATATTTACAAATCCTAATTGGTCAGACATGCAAATAATTTCTACACAAATATTCCGATTATAATGATATTTCAATCAAAACTAATAAACAGAATATTTACACCCGATCGACTTCAAACTTATTATGTGTATTCTAAACGCATAAATCTCGTCGACCACTACATAATCGAAAAACAAAATGTTCCTATCTTTACTCAAATATATATAATTATAGTCAGACATTTTTATCATACGCCCATTTTACACTCTTACTCTTCAGATTTACAAATTAATGAGGTTTGCTGACGGATTAATTACGAAAACAAAAGAAGAAATATAAAACTGTAGGCACAACTCAAAGAGTTTAAGGTGTAATATATGCTCGAAAAATACTATACCTTATCACTTTACATTATATTAAATTTTGACTAATTATAGTTTTTCGTTTTTTAATATTACCATTATTCTCGTAATTTGAAAGGCTTACTTAGCAATGAAGTCGCAATGATATTGTCGATTTAATAAATAAAATACTTATTATGACAAATTTAATAAATACTAGCAATAACATTTAAATGTAGTCAACGGTTTTGAATACCATTTAAATGATTTAGTATTTTCGGTATTTCTGTCCATCACCATTATTGTCATATTGTTGGTTACGAAATGCGGTCACACAGCGTGCGGCGCACTAAAAATGTAAGATTTCAGTTTTGTACTTATATTTTATAGCGTTAATACACTAAACAAATGTGTCGAGTGGTAACGGTAACACCTGCAGGTGCATAAATAGGTCAAGCGCGTTTATTATAATCGTTTTCTTTAACAAATTCATTGGCAATAGACAATTTTTGCATTTGTGTTGTTTGTGTGTGTGTGTGTGTATACGCGTGTATTTGAAAGAAAACACATTTGCATCGATGGATAAGAGAGTGCAATATTGTAACAAAATGATGAGACTTACTGGAAAAACAGTGTAAAGGCTGTGTCGTCGGAACGTTTTTGGACGCACTTAGCGTTCACTTGTGATTCAATTGCTTGATATTCCAACTCACATATACAATTTTGTGAATGCATGTGTGTGTGCTTTACAAACTCCTCTTTTTTGTTTATTGCGTCTTACAGAATTTCGCGAAAAACAAGAAAGTAGCAGTGCTGGATTAGGCAAAAAAGACGAAGCAGAGGGCGACTTCGCAATGGCAACGAAACTTGTTCTGCTTGCTGGTGTTGTTGGTGTTTTTCTCTTCTACGCTTCGTTACTCCAATTAATTTACCAGCAAGCAACAAAAGTACAAACACATAAATATGTATACGTGCAAATACATATGTATGTATTTAGACTTTAGCATGAACCACTGTTCCAGAAGGCGTCCTGTACATACATACATATGTACATACTTAGGCTAACCTCAGTTTGTGGCGAAAAAATGTTAACTCGGCACTTGTTGGCACTTGGGTGCTGACCTTTTTTATTGAAATGTCTGGAGTTTGTTTTTTATTACCATTGTTTTGCTGCGTGCCTCAGGTACCATGTACACACATACATATGTGTCTTGTGGTCTGAAATTAATTGCAGCTGTTTTTACTCACCTGCATACGAAGGGAAACAGGAAAGCTGCTGCTTTGCGCATTAACGCCGCTACATCCCCCCAACACGGCTATTGCTTGAGTCCAGCTGTTTTTCGATCCACAAATATGGCTGTCTCTGGGATACCATTTTCACTGCATCTGCCCTTGTTCGTGGATCTAATGGATGCTAATGCCTTCATGTTGTTTATGCTATCCACCAGCTGTTGAGCTTTACATCTTGGTAGGCCCCACATATACATACATATGTATGTATTTATGGATGTACATATGTGGGTATTTCTCAAAAACAGAATGTGAGTTCCTTAATGTGTGTCTGTGTATATCCTGCAAAATGTCTACCCTGTCGTTAACTTCGTTTTTGCCCTTCTACATGAATACACACACACACTGGACGGCGTCTTCACTCGTACCCTTGTTAAAAAATACACAGCTGTAATTGTTGTTGTTTTTATTAGCGTTCCACACACACACACACGCAGATCTGTACATACACAGACCGACATACAGCTGTACATCCACAACCCAGCGCATCCTTTGGTCGACTATGTAGACACATTTGTGGACTCCATTCTTCGTTTCTTTTTTCGTAAGGCTGTGGCGCTTGAATCGAGTGGCTGCTCTTCTCAGTACCTTTGTGCAGCGCAAATCGCGCGGTGTACCGAGTCGCAGTGTTTATTATTTTCTGCCCCTATCCTTAAATTGTTTGTACATAATAATAATACATACATACAATAAATACATCGATGGATTGAAAAATGGCCTAATGTTTGGAATAAATGATGTGTAAGTCTTTTAAAGCGTTTTTTAATCTGTTGCTGTTTATTATCCGTTCGTTAAAGGTTTGCAATATCGCATAATTCGTATTGTGCCAAGTTGGCAAAAGTGACTGAAAATATTCGAAACGCTAAAAATAAGTTAAGACTATCTCCATAAGTTGTAAATATATGTATTTAAATGCATACATACATACATGCAAGTGTACATATAGAAAAGCGTCAAAGTAAAGGAAGTACATTCGTACATATACATATGTATGTATGTATATGTATATTTGTAGAATAAATATGCGCGCGTTTGTGTCTGCATATGTATGTATATACATACGTGTGTATGCACATTTCAAATCGCGTCCCGTTTGTGCTGCGTAGGCCTTTAAATATGTACATATATGTGTGTTTAAGATCACATATGGTATACTTTATACACATACATACGTGTGTATCTATGTACATTTATTTGGAGTCACTCACACACGGGCGCTATATAAATGAAATCTAAGGAATAAGCAAGCGACCCCCACTTGGCCCAAAGTGTCGGCATACGGCAACGCTGTTGCTTTTTTCCCCCCACTTTTTTCGCACTTTTCTTTATTCGCGCAACAAATACAAACAACAAAAAGAGTAGGCATTAGTTTTGATTACCGTTACACAGGGCAGCCAAAAAGTAAACGCATTAGCTAAATGATTAAATATTGAACAAGATGATAAACATTTCTTTCTTCATATTCTTTACAGCTTGCGCGGGCCCCCCTTATGCAGATGGTGGCACTCTTATGTGCATTTTATTAATTAAAGTCATGTGAAAATGTCGCATAACATTTTATCAGCTGGACTCAAATGCAACGAGTGTGTGTAAATTATAATTATTTAATTTGTGTTCCCATACTTTCACAAGAACAGAAAAACCAAACAATAGTGAACAAAAATCAAAATCCAAAAATCAAGTGTTTAAAGTTCGGTTATATACATACATACGTAACAAAAAATAAATAAACAAATAAGGGCTAGCAGGATAACAAAAACAAAAACCGACAAGAGCACCAAGCGAACGTTGTGGTCAAGAGAGTGAATAAAGAGAGTGAGAGAGAAAAAAGAGCGGCGCGCAGCCAGTTTGATGTTGCTGGCAAGCGCGCGCTGAAAACGAAAAATGTCAACGTTCTTGAACAATTTTTTCCCGGCAGGTAAGTGGGAATATAAAATAAAAGCATAAAACAAAGACAAATAAAAACAAGTAAAAATGCAAAACCTCCAACCAAGTGCGCTCGACTATGGGATGCTCTATACTTAGCCGCATAGACACAAAACACTATTTACTATTTTAGTGAAATTATTATTGTTTGAAATCGGTACAACCTATGATAATGCCCTATCAAATGTAAATTTGGGATCATCTATGAACTCCGTTTGCAACCCTGATTGAGGGATAAGCAACTAGATTTTTCAATTAATGATGTAAGGGGTGTTTTTTTTAATAACTTCACTGTATCAGCTTTGTATGTTTAGGGTTACATCTCACTTTGTGCGCTAGATTCTTTGATTTCATTTTTGCTAGTTGCATATCAAAACCCTGTTCTTCGATTGTTCTAAACCCATAGGAAAAATCGTTTTGATTCCCTTTTCCACAGCCATTGTTGCGCTTTGCCAAACAGGTTTTAGCTGAAAATTGTGTGTAAAAGACAGGAGAACAGAAGAAAACCAGCCACAGCAGCTGACGGAAATAAGTACATAAAAGTATGTACGCGTATGTTTGTATGTACAGACATATTTAGATACACTGGACATTGCATCGTACCTGTTGATAACCCTTTGTGTTTGTTGTCCTCATCGAGTGCAAATCTGGAAACTGAATGGTTGCCATATAAAACAGGTTCTTACGACCAGTTCCGCTTCTTTGGATCGACCTTTTATAATCAAAGATAATAACTGAACTTCTTCAACACCGTCTTAAGCGAGCGATACATTTGGCTATAGAACCAACTTACTTATAGATTAGATTACAGACAACATTAGATGCTTTTCATATTTTCTCAAGTAATGCTGTGCAAACATTTTATTTGACAATTGTTTTTCTAACTAAATCGGAGTTTCTATTTTTAATATTCTTGAATAATCAAAGCTTTCGCAGTATCTGAATTTTTGTACTTAATCGCAGAATTAAGAATGTGGAAATTCAATTCCTTCTAGCCTTGTTTATATGAATAACCTGTTTCAGAAAAAAACAAACCAAGTGCTGTAAATGATTTGGTCCTCCCTGAGAAATACAGACTGTACGTTTATTTAATAACCGTGTTAGAAATTTATCGTTAAAATAAAATGAATTTAAAATTTGATATACATATTTACGCTTCATGATATTTTCTTACCTAGACTTGTATGTAAAAATGAATACGTCGAAGGGTTTTAAAAAAATGAACGACTTTCTTAGTGTATACGTGCCAATAAGACTTAAAAAATACAAAATAAATTAGTTTTCACTTTTAAATATGTTTTTGTTTGTGTGTACATACATATATACGTACTTATGCAGCTATATACATCAATTGCGGGATAAGTAGAATTGTTCATGCTATCAGAGAGGTGGGCATGGACCATATTTTCACACACACGAGCAGATCCACACAAAACCATCATATCAACAAAACACTTTTTCTTTAAAAATGCTAAAAAAATATAAATATATAAATAACCTCAATATATTGATAATGATATAATTAATTTAAAAAAACGATAATTGTTTAATTAGAGTAAAAAATTTCTTGCGTTCAAACGGAAGGGCGGTCGTACAGACGGACATCGTCGTCTTGTTATACTGATAAAGAATATATATACTTTTGGGTGCCTGCCACGCCTGCTCCTGTGTGCTACATATACTCGCACAGGACTAATATAGGGTGTAATAAAAAAGTGCAAAGAGTCTACGTCTTCGAGTTAATAAACTTCAAATATTAATGTTAAATTGCAAGAAACAATTTCTGCCCTTCGTGGACTTGTCGTTACGGGCCGAATAAAGTCGGCCCATACTCATCTCTACATCGGACCCATACATATGTGTGTGTGCCTTCTTTAGTAATTTTTATCTCATGAATTAGTCAAGAGTTTGGCCAACTCAGCTGCCGAATCAGCTGTTTTTCGTGCTTAGACCTTGACTGAAATGTTTCGTGAAAAGTAAACATCCCTATGCACTTATGCGGCGTTCTATAATTTCCAAAATCTTCATCATTTTATTATTTGTTAATTACATATACATACGAACAGTAAACCGCCGTTTTTCCAATATATACATATCGTACATATGTATATGTATATTTGTTTCAAGAGAATGAATGCTCTATCGCTCTTCTTTTTGTATTTATTTTGTGTTTTGTTATGTACGTATGTATGTATTGGTATGGGATTGCATATGTGTTGGTTGTTTCTTCATCGCCTCTGTCAGTCAGTCAGTGGGCTCTTTTCTACCTTTGTGTTAGTCACTCTTTGGCAACGAATGCGACCATACGTCGTGGCAATCGCACTGTCCGGCTTATACATACTATACACACACACACATACATACATACATCTATCTGTACATGCATATAAAAATATGCGTAAAAAGGTAATGTAAGCGGTTGGTTATATTTAACGACGGGTGTATTTGTTGTAACGCTGGTTAGTAAAACAAAAAAAAAAAGTGTTTTGTACGAAAACCCTTTGCGTTTAGAAAGACTCTCAAATGGACTCTAGTGATTGTGACACTTTAAAGTTTCGAGCTTGCTGTAAACTGATAAAAGCAACTGTTGTTTGTGCAACGGTTCAGCTACATACATATATGTATGTATGTATACTAATGTATATGCATGTAGTATATACATATGTATGTGAGAATAATTATATCGAATAACAATTGGGAAGGCCGAAAATGCGTGTACACGACGCCGCGTTTGCTGCGTTGTCAATCAAAGTGAAATTTGAAATTACCTTTTCGCTGAGGTAGCGGAAGTGGCTGCACAAAGCAAAAAGCAAACCAGAACAGAACTGAACTGAACTGAGCAGAACAGAAAACAATGACAGCAATAAGTTTCTGCAAAGATACTTTCTCTCTGCTTTGTTTTTGTTCTTCTCGATGATAATGCAGTATACGAGCTTCTGAAACACATACAGTCTTCTTCTTTTTATTTACTATACATACGCGATATATAAGTTTAAAGTTGCTCAGTTTTGGCGATTACAACTCTTAAAGTAGCACAGCTGTTCGGCTGACGTGTTTGGTGATTTAACTAGCCATGGCTCTCTGTTGATCCGGCGCTCAGCGAGCTGTATGTCAACAGTAAATTGGGTCAAGCCATCGTAACGCTGACAGAAATCATGAACAGAAACATGTGTTCGGTCACGTTGGTTGACGACAGCAAATATCATCGAAGCAGCGAGTGAAGTTACTGCTGGTTTCACAAAGAGCTGATCTGTTCGTGATCGTAAAAGGCCAAAAAAAAAAAGCGCCAATCTTGCGAATGTGGCGAGTGCCAAAATGCATCTTGAAATTCGTTCACAAATTCACGAACTTTTACAAAGCCATCCAGTCCAAAAACTGTGTACGAAAATTAAACTAATAAAGAAAGCAACTGTGGACACAAAAGCTCAAGAAATTTGGGATATATATTATATTTATATTTAAATAAGGGAACATTCGCAGAATATTAGACAACTTAAAATTATTTTTCTTAGTACTTACAACAAGAGAGATCGTTACAGTTGAGCAAATGCGATAGTTAAAGACGTGTACAAAAAATAAGACTAATTTCAAATGCGTTGTAGGAATAAAAAGAAATTTCTCGATTTGTCTCGTCATGCTGATGAAGAATGCAGACTGATTGGTGATCATTGCAAAGTTGACCGTGAAATTTGGACTACATTTACCTGTAGGGGAGAAATAACAAGCCGTTTTGGAAATTCCTATTCCAATGGGAAAGAAGGGGCTCCAAATCTTGTATATGTTAAGATTTCGAACTTGGTTTTTATACTCTAATTATAAGTATAAAGCAAACTGCATTTATTTATTGAAATTTGTCTCGGATCTATTGGTGCTTTAATTTGGGGAAAATTGGTAAGATCTATGATGCTAAAATTTGCTTTCTAGTACAACGTAGGAGTTTTCGAAAGTGTAACTAAAAGTTAGAATTCAATTCAATTTCCCAGGTATTTCCAATTAAATACTTAATAATTAATGGCGATTCATTTTGCGCTCAGCGTCAGGTTATTACACAAGATTACAGGCGCGAGCTCGAGCTAATAACAGGATCCGAAACAAACAGATCAGATCAGCGTACGTTTGAGGTCGTTGAAATTCAGTTCAATTGCATTTAAAACGTATTTGCAATTGTTTCAAGTACAGCTATTGCGGTTTGTTCGCAAACGAATGTGAATGCGGTAGGAGCCGGCTAAAATGTGTAACATACATGTTACATATATACACCTAATTCTGTTTTTACACGGTAGATTGGTTCCTGAAAAAGTCGTGTAAAAACCGAGTAAAAAAAAGACATTGATCATATGCTATTTTAAATTTCATTTAGAAATAACATCGTGTAACCACATATAAAATTTTTAATTTTCAATTTGTAATTTGCCTCCACCAAAACGATCGCCCACCATTCCACGCACAGCCGAATTTCGCCTGACAGCGCCACAGTTCATTTATTAAGTACATTTTGCGGATATAGTAATATACTCTTTATTTCGTTCAGTAATCACAATACATCATTAGATAAGCATAAGCAACTCATTTGCTTAGGCCGCAACATGGAACTAGTTCGTACCGGACCGGATCGACCCCACTTCAGACAGTTCACAGTTTGTGAGGCATTAGCGGCTTGGCTCTCCCACTTTGGCAGCCACTGGCACTCGTTTCTCTGTTAGGTGTCTCACTTTTCCGTTTTATATACACCTTCGCCTGCGCTGTTGTCTGCTTAGTTGCGAGGGCGCTGCATTGCAGCACGGTCGGTCGGTCGATCGTTTCACTTACAGCAGCAAGACGTACATATGTATATGTAAATACGTACGCATATGTAATATTTGCCCACCTACTTAAATAACTGATTTTTGTTTTTAAGCCGCGACAGATAACGGCAATGGCGCACGGCAACATCGGCACATAACTACACGTTTCCGTGACGTAACGACGTGTCAATATAGACATATGTATGTAATTTTGTTTTAGTTTAATGTGTGTGTGTGCTTGTGTGAGCTGACGCTTATCATATATACATACATACGTACATACATATGTATGTATAAATGTGTTCATGATCTTCAGAGCAAAACAAAGTTTTCTATTTGAACAACAACAACTTCATGCATACTGCAATACTACATATGTATGTATATGCATGCGTAGGTATATGTTTGTATGTACATGTGTAGTGACGAAAGCAGTGAGAAACAAAACAACATGTGCAGTCTGTTTGTGTCTGCCAAACTGTAAACAGGTTTGTTGTGATGCGAATATGCGTGCGTTCTACAACACTTCAATACGTAGACGTACCCATGTATGCAAGTTTGTACATACATATGTATGTGTATAGTATATGTGTAAACATACATACAAACACCCCTGTATATAAACTGTTTGTTTAGCAGCAAAGTGCATGCCTCAGCAGAAGTAATGCATCTGTAGATATGTAAATATATCAATACAATATGTGTATATATAGAATACACCTACGCAAATGGAAAATAAATGGTTTTAAAAATTAACAAACAATTAAGATGTTTGACTAAATTTGAACGACAAATTAAAAATAAACAACATTGAAGGTGGGAAGCCAGCCGGTTCGTTAGTAGTATTAAGAAAAAGCCATTAACCATTACATTGAACCCATTGTTTTTGAAAGCATTCGTAAATGTTCTCTTTGTTTAATAAAAAAAAATGAGAGTAACTTGCTGGTTGTAAAAAAAATTTTCGTTATAGTGACATACATATGTATTTGTTTGACAATTTGTGAATCCTCAATTATTTACAGATATACAGATAACTTTCTTTTGGCTTCTTTAATATGTTCCTCAAATTTTGGTGGAGTTATGTTAAGTTTTGTTAGCCTTAAGTTGAATTATTTGATTTATCCAGGCTTGAAGTCGTCTCTAAATGTTACCTTTAGGAGCATCGGATACTCATAGACCTTAACCCTTACTTATTATAGAAAGGTGTACAAAACACTATGACAAAGTACGTGCGAGCACACATATATTCATATTCATTAGTATTTACATATCTATATGAACATATGTACATACATATCTACACAAAATATCATTTTGTGTCTGCCGGCGTGTTGTTGTTTACGAACAGAAATTGCGTCGTTCTTGTTTTGGCTATTTTGCTCTCTTCAGAGGTAAATATTTATACCTTGTAGCATACATAGACATACACACACATATATACATACATATACGTATATAGTCAGTCAAAATGAATTTGTTATTTTGCTTATCATATTATCGATAAGAAATGTTCGCTAAATAGCAAAATAAAAACATATGACAAAAAATCGCGCTGCTCTTCAATTTCAAATTATAGAAGGCCTTGTTTGCTAAATTGTTCTCATTGATATCTGTTATACTTGTATGTACATATGTAGGGATATAATGGCAAATGTTCCGTCACATTATCTGAGTTATAGCTGAATTCTTTCACTGAAGTTACTTCTGCGTGCTGATAAAGTATCCAATTACCTCTCAACGAATCTAATATTTAAATATTCTATCTCTGCTTTTAGATACGGCTGCTATGGATCCACTTTTCTTCTCGCCCTCGAATGGTATACCGTCAGAAAGTAAACTCGCAACTTATATGGTAAGCGGTCGGAGGAGATGATAAGCCGAAGAAATAGCTATTCTAGCTATTAACATTTTACTATTATTTTAAGATTGTCGAATATAAGTGAAATAATAATTACTACTAGAGTAGAATGAGAGCCTGCCTTCAAATATAACTCCATTTAAAAGCTATTATATAATAGAATGTTTGAGCATACAACTACATTTTTGTGCTACAGTTGATATAACGCTTTAGGGGGCTTATGTTAGGCAAATGATTGTACATTTCTTTTCTTGCTTTATTCGACTGTAATTATGAATTAACGTTGAGCCCTATATTGCTTAATTATGGTAGCGGAGTTTTGTGTGTGTGTTTTTTATGCCAATCAATTGTTGTTCTCCACTCGCAGGTAACAGCTCAACCGCCCGAATTCATTCCAACTCGCCTCAACATCAATTCGTCGCCGAACTTCTACTCACCATATCATAATACGCCCTTGCAATTGAGTAATGGCCTTAACGGCGTCAATGGATTAACAGCAGTAGCTGCCGCCGCCGCCGCAGCCCAAGCAGTAGCGACTACGTCCACGGCCGCCGCATCCGCATCCGCGACGATCAGCAAAACGGTGAATGGCACAAACTCCATGCTCGGACTGCAGAAGACGGCCGCCGTCGCCGCAGCCACAGTTGTCCAGCAACAAAAACAACAACAGCAGCCTTTGGTAAATGCAACGGGGGCGCCCATATCAGCGCCCATCGCTATCACCGGAGCCCCACCAAATCCTGCCGCAACTCCATTCGTCAGCACCATGTCAACACAGACACCCCATAAAGGACGCAGCGCCCTGCTACGCAACGACTCGCCCACGGCCGCACTACTCGGTGGCGCCGGTGAGAAAACTCCCCCGCATGGAGTGACGCCGCACACCGCCTCGCCCATACCAACAACGCTCCCGACGAGCGTCCATCAGGTCAGTCCAAATATCACTTAGAAGCACAAGTTTATAAAAACTTGCCATTATAAAAAAATATAAAAATGTTCCCCTAATACAATTTTCAACGTAAATAAACTTAGTTAAAAAACTTGTAAAGACGTCTTGAAAAGGCAGCTATTTGATAAAGGGCACTGATTTGGATGAAACATCAAAATAACATAGGGCACTAAAAAAATAAATAGTTACCAATTATAATTTCCTTTCACATTGACCTATCATGATTAAACATACGGATACATACATAATTAAAAACTGGAGGTATTTGACAAATTCCAAGAATTACGGGGGTTATGGAAAATCACTAATCGCGGGGGGTGGGGGGAAGGAGGTACTCTTACGTACTTATAAAATGAATCTTTGATTCATTCATAAGTCAGGTTACACTTTACAGGTACAGAGTATACAAATTTATCATTTTGGGCAGAAATCAGTCCTATGACAGCAACATATATACTAAATATATGATTTGTGATAAACATAATCTGCATATGGATAAGAAAAGTCTACATACCAAGTTTGGTGTCCTTACCTGCTAATATTTCAATGTTATCGATGTTCATGTGTAAATATCGGTTCGACTTTTATTCTGATCAAATAGAATACTCCTAATAGTTTATAACCACCCTACGAGTATAACTCATCCACCCGTCTATTTCCTATGTTTAGGAAAACGTCGGAGGCACGATTTATTTTTATCCAACTGCCAATGCACAGAGCAGCAATCCGGTTGTCAACCCTGTGGCTGTGGATGCCACCCATCCGGCACACCATGGCGTAGGGGTTGGGGTCGGTGCAGTTGCCCCACTGAGCGGTGTGGGCGGTGTCCCTTCGAGCCTGCTCTATACTGGCCACGTCTATCCCGGTCCCGCCTCCAATGTGATTGCCATGCAGCCTAAAACTCAATTGGAATCAGCTTTCTTTATACCGGATGATATGCGCACAGAAATTCTTGCCCGCAACGAGATCTCGAACCTCATAACGGACCCAGCAGAAGCCGCGCAGCACGCCCTGCCAATGGAGGTTGACAACTATCATGCCCTGTACCCACTGGAACCACCGGCACAACCTTTGCAAGCCAAACTAACGCTGCCGGCAAGCACGTATCGGGCAACGCACAATACAACGGGCTTCAAATACTGTTTGAGAAGGTTACACGGTATGTAGGGTCGTCGAGTCAGTCCCCACTATGGCTCTAACTGACGTGCCGCCGTCTTTATAGGTTTTCGATTGCAATCCACGAAGTGTATGACACTGGTGGAGATGTGGAAGAAGCTGCAGCACACGAACGTGGTACAACTCCGTGAAGTTTTCACAACAAAAGCATTTGGTGATAACTGTAAGTGGGCTTTTTAGGAAAGACCTGTTCTATTTAAATGTACCTTTCCCTACAAACAGCCTTAGTATTAGTTTACGACTACTATCCTGGCTCACAAACATTGCTAGCCAAATATTTTACGCCAACGCCAGAGACCAATGGCTACACCGATCCATTCCAAGGCGAGGCGCGTCCATTCAGGTGATTGTCCCGAAGTTACGTTCACAAGCATCGTTCTATCTAAATCGTTTCTACGTTACTTTTTTCAGTCATAAAAGTAACTTGCAGCGTACAAACAACGGACCACTGCTGGCGGAGTCCACAATATGGTCGATTATCATGCAACTGACTGCTGGTCTTCGGGCTATCCACCAGGCAGGACTCGCTTGCAAGTAAGTGTTCAACCGCGGACATAATCGCCAGCCGAACCGTTCACTAATCACCAAGCGCGTCCGTTTAGAATACTAGACCCCACGAAGATCATAGTGACTGGAAAGCGTGTGCGCTTTAGCAACTGCTGTATCTCAGATATAACGCAATTCGATCCAAATGCGACGAATCCCTTGGCACTCGTGAACATGCATCAGCAGGTATTTCTTCAATTTATTAATAACAATTACGTTACAAAATACCGATTAGCCATCTCAATATTCAAATTTAATTTTAAATAATTAACAAATGCCGTAATCATCAATTAATCGGATAAACAGCTAAAAGGAGTTTCTTAATGATTTTTTGGTGTTGGAAATTTAACAAACATTGTCACCTTGAAGTCGCTTTTTTATCCAACAGCCCTATTATTTGTGTTGCTATGAATTTTTTTAACAATATACACAGCTTATCAGCCTTTCTTCTATAGCTGTCATTATCCAACGTTGTCCGAGTATATTTTTCGATTAATTCCAACTACCACGAGTAGTAAATTAGTCAGCAACCTACAAGTAGCTGAGAAATGTATGTGAACATTTGAGCTCCGGTCAGATATGCAAATAATTTGCACACAAATTCAATTTACTTTACAAGTAGGCTTTGAAAAGGAAATGCCAAACATTCAAAGTACTTGTGAAATTTGTTGCCACTCTGACATCACCAGCATCATTTAGAGTTCAATTCGCTTTCCCGATCTTGTATGGTTATCCATGGCTACGGCTATTATCTGAGCCCATGTCAGTAACAGTTGTTCAAGTAAAAATGCTTACATACTTTATTCAAGTTTAAACCTCAATTTTAGCCAACTTTGGAATCAAATTCAAAGAAAAGAATGAAAACCGAATTTCATTTTGAATTTATCCTTTTCCGGCCACTGTGCACTACATCTGTGCGTGAAAGGGTGAAACTTCCGTGAATATCGTTAGCTCTTTAAATTCGTGAAAACTACAGGAATATTTATGAAAGTCAATAAAAATCACATGTAGTGGATATGGCAATTGAAAAAATTATAAGTTAGGCTGAGAAACTATCGATATTTTGATTAGACAAAAAAATGTAAATACTTAAAGCTTCAAAAATTCGAAAATGTGAAGAAGGATGTCAGACAACATATACTTGTAATGTGGTTCTTTAGTGTTCAATTGTGTATCTACAAATACTATAAATGCGAAAAAAATGTGTTAATCTTTAAATAATGTTTAAAAAAGAATTGAAAATTCGTGAGTGATCGTGAAATGTCAGAAATGTTATTGTTTTGGTGAATTTCATTCGTAAGTGTGCGTGAAACTGCCAACATTTTTTGTGAGCTTCACAGCAGGAGGATGATATAGGAGGATATTGGAGATATAGGAGAATAATGAGCATAGGCTCTAGGTCCATTTCTGTCTATATACTCATACTCACACTCACACTATTGTACACATTGAGATGTCGTGTATACTGTAATGTTGAACTTGTTGTTCACAGGACGATTTAACCGCTTTAGGTCGCTTAGTATTAGCCTTGGCCTGTCGCTGCCTTCAGTCCGTGCAGCGCGACAATGTGCAGTCTAGCATCGATATGGTGACGCGAAACTACTCTACAGACTTGCGTAACTTTATTGTGTAAGTAGTTGCCAGCCAAACCCAATAATGTTCTAGTAATAGTGGATCATAATTCCATACCACACAGCTACCTTTTCACCACGAACAATCGACGTTCTGTGACCGATCTAATGCCGATGATAGGAGCACGTTTCTACACACAACTCGATGCGCTACAATGCCAGATCGATATGCAGGAAGACGAGCTGGCTAAGGAAATGGAAAACGGACGTCTATATAGGGTTTTGGTCAAGCTAAACACTATCAACGAAAGGCCTGAGTATGCCACTATTCCTAAAAGACACTGTTTGGATAGTTCCCCAACTCACGTGTCCATCTTCTCATCCTTTTAGCTTTAACTTAGATTGCACTTGGTCGGAAACAGGAGACCGCTATATGCTGAAATTATTCCGTGATTATCTATTCCATTCCGTCACTGAAGATGGCCGCCCTTGGCTGGACCACGCCCACATTGTGCAGTGCCTGAATAAATTGGATGCTGGCTCGCTTGATCGCGTACGTGGACACTAAGCATTATAAATTAAATATTACTCAGGTTTACGCAATTTTAGGTTCAACTGATGTCACGGGACGAGCAATCGGTACTAATTGTATCCTATGCAGAACTTAAAAACTGTTTAGAGAACGCATTCTCCGAACTAATATCGAGTGCTGGAAATTGAACCAAGCAACCAACTCTGCTCACTCACCAATACAGCAAGCGACCACAAACGATAACGATTCATACGTTTAAACAAACAAACAAATAAGAATAAAAACAAAAAATAAAATGTACGCGTTAAATTATAAGACATTTCGGCACACGCCGAGTAAAAAGCGATAAAAGTATAAATTGTAATGATAAACAACAAACAACCTACTGTTTAAGCAATGCAGAAAAAGAAAGGAAAAACCACTTAATATCCAATGTTACGTAAGCTCTAATTTAATTCTAAGTATTTAAAATCAAAGAAGATGAAACAACTCAAAGAAAAACAAACAGACAAACAAACAAATCAACTCGAAACGACAGGTAACAGAGGATACAACTGTTTGAACGCGTAATTAATCTCTCCAAATTTAAAAATTAAAAAACAAAACACAAAAAGAATTCTTTTTAAATGTAAAACAAAAAGTAGAAAACATTCGAAACAAGAATAAAAGAAACACGTTGATCTATTTTTACAGACCCTAAGAGAATGGAACTTAAAAATATATAAAAAGCGAAAAAAATTGTAAATTCAACAAAATTGAAAAAAAAAAAAAAACATAAAAAGAGATAACAAAAAAGGATAAAGGAAGCAGTGTACAGAAAGGGAACAGGGAACATCAAATGTAAAAGTATTTGGATTATGAACGCCCCCTACTAGACAAATGACTTGAACCTAAAAATGTAACAATAACATTTTTATTTTTTATAGCTGCATGATTTTATCAAAGAAAATACAACAACAACAAAAACAAAAAAACTACAACAAGGAACCACTTATAGGAGATATTTTGTGTAATGGACGTGTGCAAATCGAGCGATGCACAGCGCATCTGCTAAATATTATAATTAAAACATAAAGAAAAACAATTCCGTTTTATACAATTTATTTTAGATACTTGCATAGGTTTTTTTTAAAAATAAAAATAAAATGTATTTTTTCAAAATGTAACAAAACTCCCAACACTTTTAAACTAACAAACAGATAAACTGTTTGCAATTTTTAAGACTAAGTCGAGTCCCCGCAAAATTTTGCAAATCTTCAATTCGCGCTGTGCTTGCGTGTTCGCATATCCACGAAATAAATATAAACGAGCCAAACAACCGAATCTAAATCTTATAGAAAAGATGATAGTACTACACCACCATTGCGACAGATATAGGAGGTGCATAAAATACACATTAAGTACAATTTGATAAATATTTATATATAGATATGGAAGTAAGTACATTAACGAAAAGAGGAGCCAACCTAACCACTGTTCTGTTAAATCACTTTTTTGTTGCCTTACGCAGTTGTCGAGTCTGTCAGTCGTTAATGGATTGATTGTATATTATTGTAATCCTTTAAAGCGCATTGTCTTTTTACGAGCGATGCGAGACTGGATTGTTTTAATTGATTGATTCATTGCTTGATTTTTACCCAAGTTAATTCTTAGAGTTTTTTTATACTGACTTTCTTCTTATGTTTCGTCGGACCTATTGTGTAATTTCGCTTTTTAAATATTTTATACTTCAACATAAGACTTATTATTATTTATAAACACGAAAAATGTGAAAGAAAACTTTTTAAAAAACCAATAAAAAATAATAAAATGTTAAACCCGTCGACGTCTTTCAGTCCATCATCCATCTAAAAAATATCAATTGTCTATTTATAATTCAACACAATAACTTTTATTTGTTTCTTGCGAATATAATTGTGTACAAAGAGCAAAGGACAGATAATGTCAGTGTGAGTTTGAAGAGTAGTGGCAGGCAAAAGCAATAAAATGTAATTCTTCTCATTTCATGTTCGGGCAAAATTAAAAAATTTAACAAATTCTCCATAAATTTGGAATTTGGAATTTCGACTGCAGTTGTCGTTTGTTGTTTTTAGATTCTCTTATGATTATCACAGTTTAATATTTACAGGCTTTATTACTTCTACATACCCATTGTTTGTTGCCTTGAATTCAAACAGAAATGCGAATGTTAGTTGGTTGGTTCGGTGAAATATATAGTATATGTATATATGGGTTTTTCATTAAACAATAACTTTTTAAGCAATCTTTTAGCTAATTCATAAAAACTACTTATCTAGTGTGTGCCAGAAGCTGCCCGATAATTTCAACCGACAAGACGAGAAGAAACTACAGCTCATTGATTCTTTCGCTATAATTTTTCCGCTGTGGGCGAAATTGTCTTCATGCCTGAGCACACTGCAGTATATACGAGTAAGGACCTAGGCTTAAACTAAAGGTATTACAGAAAATGTTGTTTGTTTGTTTTTAAATTTTGTTGAGTATTATTTAGCGGGCAGCAAAGAAGTTTGGTGACAACATCGAATTAATAACTAAGTGTGGGAGACAGACAGCATTCACATTTGTAGGTTAGCCAGTTTGAAACGCTGAAGGGCTGTCAATTTGTGGAGGGGGTGGGTGGGGCTTAGGCGGGTGCCTCTGTGGGTGTGTGACAACCCTCCACATTCTCGGGCCAATCGCACACATTCTCCTGGGGATTGAAGACCAGGTTTGCAGGACAGGGCATATGATGCTTCCGTTCCCCCTCGCACATATAGTAATGCGTACAATCTGCCCAATCCTTGTGGTAGCTGATATGGCCGTCTTCCTCCGCACAGGTCACCTCGTGAGCTTTAAAGATGATTAAAATTAGACTAAATTCAACGACGTGTTATCCTAGACTAGACTTTCTATTCAAACTTCGATCTTTCATTATTTCTAGTATCTTTTAAGTATGAATAACAAAAAGGCGTTTTTAGTAGAATGTTGGGTGATAGGAATCAATCTTTCTATATTCTTTAAATGATATTGAAAAATGCACACTATAATCATTCGATCATTATTAAATCGATACCGAAAAATACACACCTAACTGGGTAGATATTCGATGTTCAAATACTTACGATCTTTCGTGGTGTAAGCGCCTCGAGGTGAATACGCCTCAGGATCGACTACTTTGTAGTCCGCCAGCTCTTGGTTCAAAGCGGTTAGCAATGGATATTTTCCACCTCCACAGCGACCCGAAAAGTCATCCATATCAATAGACCAGACCATAATTCCACCGAAGCCTTGCTCCTTAAGCCATTCGGTCTATACCAAAGAAAGAAAGTTCATTTGTATTTAAATGTTAAGTTGAGGGTCCACAACTTACCTTCGTCTTTAGCGAGCGTTCGTCGTCAAAGCCAACCCATTGATTTCCCCTATAGGCGAAGGGCACTTGCTGTTCGGAGTCCCACACAAGCGTAGTGTTGTCAGCCGCCAGGAAAGTACAAACTTCGTAGTAACTGAGGAATCCGGCCTCATTAGTGAATTTCCCTGGTTTACCACCGCCCGATGCCGGGGATCCAATATCGAATTGGGTGTCGTTAACCAACTCAAAGCTGCGTCCATAGGTTGGCATACCAATGAGTAGTTTCTCCTTTGGCGCTCCTTGTTTCACCCATTCCCTTGCGCTGTAGTCTACGGTCAGCTTCTTTTGGTATGATGTGGCCGATTCCAGGGCGAACAACGGTGAATTATGTCCTACCGTTCGCTCCCATTGACCATGGAAGTCGTAGGTCATCACATTGATGAAGTCCAGGTACTTTGAAATTTCAGGTACATCATAGCCGGCCGCAATGGCCTCGAAAGAGGCAGGAACTGCCGCTGTAAGGAGTAGCCGGGGCAGGCCAGACGACTTAGCTTCGCCATCAAATGCCACCCGCAATTCGCGAAGCAGGTTCACGTAGGCGACGCGATCTTCAGCGCCACGTGGATATTCCCAGTCGACGTCTAGACCGTTGAACTTGTAGTCGCGCAGAAAATCGATGGCCTCGTACACGAATTGGTTCATGCGGAAAACATTTGAGGTGAGCTCCTTGAAGGGTGTGGAGCCGAAGGCCCAGCCACCGATAGCCAGCAGTATCTGCAGGTCGGGGTTAGTATCGCGCAGAGCTATTACACTCTCATAGTTTTCGGGATCATCATCTGTGGCCTCTGCGAGCTTGTAATCCTGCAGCGTTGCAAACGCATAGACAATGTGTGTGCAGAGCTTAGGATCGATGTTCGATGGTTCGAATTTGCCAGCTCCTGGACGTTTGGCAGACCAGCTAGTTAGATAACAGAAGACCTGGGCTGGACGTGCTGAAATGAGATTTAACCATAATTTAATTAATTTGTCGTCTTAGGAACGTCCTAGAATAGCTTACTGTTTTGTTCAATTGCGTTCAGGCCGGACTTAATGCGTTGTTTCTTTCCTGGCTGTGGTCTTCGCACCTTGCTGAGAACCTCATCGACAGAAATTTGAATAGGTTCTGGTTTCTGCGGGCAATTTAAGTTAAGATTAAGATTCAGACCTAAAGAATTTCATGGTACAAACCTCTTCAATGTCCTCGAATGTTGAAGCAACTGCGGTCCAGTTAACATCTTTGGCCTCCTTGCCACGTGAAATTCCTAACAGCTCCTCACGCATGGCCCCAATTAGCGGGTACTTCACATTACCACCACACACCTCACCCTTAAAGTCATCCATGTCTATGGTCCACACCATAGCACCGCCGAAACCGTTATTCTTTATCCAATGCATTTTGTTTCGTATGGCCCGCTCGTCGTCGAAACCAACCCATTGGTCACCATCCACCATGTAGGGTACCTTCATCTCGTCGTCCCACACATACACAGCTCCGTTTTGCAACATCTCGCAGATCTCGTAGTAGGCCAGGAAGCCACTCTCCTTGGTATAGATGCCTTCGCGTCCTCCCCCAGTTGCCGGCGCATTCGGACCATGCTTGTCGGTGTTCGCCAGTGTAAAGGAGCGGCCATAGGTGGGCATGCCGATGACAAGTTTCTCCTTGGGAGCACCCAATTTTACCCACAGCCCGGCTGCATGGTCTACGGAGAGTTGTCTGCGCCATTCGGAGTCCGAGGAGGGCGCATAGAGAGGTGCATTATGTCCAGTCTCGCGCTCCCATTTGCCGTGGAAATCGTAGGCCATTAGATTTATGAAATCCAAGTAACTGGCAATGGCTGGCACATCATAGCCTCCTCGCACGTTATCGGGACCCACTGGGACTGCGGCGGAGAGCAAGAGACGTGGCTTCTTTAGCTCCTGAGCCTCAGCCTCGAACGCCTCGCGCAATTCCTTAAGCAACAACACAAAGTTCTTTTTGTCATCGGAACCCTTCGGGTACTCCCAATCCATGTCCAGACCATCAAATCCGCGCTTGCGCAGGAATGGTATGGCCGAGTAAACGAATGTCTGACGTGTATAGCGGGTGGCGGACATCTCCTTAAACTTTTGGGTACCAAACGACCAACCGCCTAGCGCAAGAAGTATCTGAAATACAGATATAGTTAGAATAGGGACCTGACTACGACTCGAACAAAATTAAAAGTACCTTCAGCTTGGGGTTTGCCTTGCGTAGATTCATCATTCGCTCATACAATCCTGGAACGTTGTCTTTAGTCTCGTCATTGGACTCGTAGGAGCTAGAAAGTTGCATCACGAAAAATATGCATATGGGATGGTTTACTTATTTGTTATCCAAGTTACTTACCTAAGCTTTCCCTTCTTCAGCCAACCGAAGGCAAATATAATATGCGTGCAAAGATCGGCGGGTATATCCTCCGGCACAAATTTACCGATTTTGACACGGTACTGCGACCAGTTTGTGTAATAGCAAACGATCTTTGGCGTAGTATCCTCGCTGACCTTCGTCTTCTTGCCCTTCAGCGACGATCCACTAGCCACTAGCGCAGCAGTTCCAGCTGCTCCCGCAGCTGCTGCGGCAGCGGCACTACTCCGTAGCTTAGACTTGGACCGCAGACGCGTCCGGCTGACTGTGGTAGTGGAAGCTGGTTGCTGATCGATGCGCTTCTCGGCCTCGACCACCGTTGAGCTTGGCGCTGTGGTTGGACGACGTAAACGCCGACGAGTTTTCGCTGAAATGAATGAGGTTTATGGGGTGTGAATATATTTATGCCTTTGTAAGACCATTAGAGTGTTCACTCTCAATGGTTAAGATGATAACTATAACTTGATTAGGAGGTATCGAGTTCATTTTGATAATTAGAAAATTAAAGCGTTTCCATCTTTTGTTCTCTTGCTACCTGTCTGTCCAGTCCAATTCGAATTAGCCACTTAAAGAAAGAGGGTTGTTCACGGTTTATCAGATAAGCCACTGGTCGAGAATGCATATCAATACATTCAATAAGACTCTTATCTTTTACTTATGTAATAAATAGGAGGCCCCTTGTTGTAGGTTTATGTATATTTCATCAAAAGCATGTATTTAGACATGTTTATAATTTTTGAACCATCTGAAGGCATCAGACTTGGCGTATTGTCTTGCCTTCCCAATCCATACTTGTGTTGCGTATAAAATATTGATTTCTTCACTCATAAATAAATAATGGACTATTTCCATTTATACCTTTCATCTACAAATTAAAAAAATTTTTTTTTAAAATTAAATTAAAGGCAAATTCATTTAATTTATAGCTGTCAAAGGAACCAACTTTATAATTTAAAAGTATAAATATTGAATGAACGTTGATGACTTTTTTTTTGGTCTGCCAAAAGTAATTTAATAATTTGTTCTTCATTTAAATGTCTTAACCAATTCAAATGTTGTTCTATGAAACAAAATTGGTCAACGTGTTTTTTGCTTTTGCTCTAACTAGTTTCTTAATTTCCTATACCAATGGACCAATATTTGTTGTGGGCGTTTCATAAACACGCTCTCCATATATTGCGCCTGGCAGCCAACCGTTAACAGTTAAATCAACATGTTGTTGTGTCTATTTTTAGATTACTTCATGGTGCGGGCCTCGAATTGTGCTGCTGCCGGCCGCTTAATATGTGGGGATATAGCTCAGTGGTAGAGCATTCGACTGCAGATCGAGAGGTCCCCGGTTCAAACCCGGGTGTCCCCTTGATAAACTTTTTGCCTCAATTTCAATTTTTCTCTATCCATAAGTACATACAGTATGCGGTGAAATTATATTCTTAAAAAAATGTATAAAATTGTTTGCCTACGAAATTATTACAGCCACAAAAAAATTTGTTGTTACACAATATTAAACCAAATTGAAACGCTTCATGTGCAAATTAACTATTTACTTGTAAATTGTGAAACAGAAATTTGCTCTATAAACAGAAAAAAAATATACATATATAAAATATACTTTGTAATACATTAGTATAGATCTAAACCACGAACAAATTCGTCTTAGGAATTCGTCAAGAAACTAAAAAACGCTTTAAATGTGTAAATATTTTAGTTGCGCAACTTAGCTAGCAATTTATCGTGATACAATTATTTTTGGCATTTATAAATAATTTAACGTTGAGTTGAAAACAATTATATACAAGAGCTCTTTATTTGTTAATATGCAGAGCCGGCATATAAGTTCATTCAGCTAGCGCGGTTGAACATGGGGATATAGCTCAGTGGTAGAGCATTCGACTGCAGATCGAGAGGTCCCCGGTTCAAACCCGGGTGTCCCCTTGATAAACTTTTTGCTGTCATTTAATTTTTTTTTGCGTTATGATTTTAAGTATGTCTATTATATTTGTATAATCTGGAAAATTGGGGAATTCCAGAAAATTCTAGGTTGCCGAGACATAAAAATCAGTTGCTTATTTCCAAATTGTCCTTCAAATATTAAAATTGTAATATGTGTATTTAAAATAAATGAGATATTTTAATTTAAATATCTGTTTTTAATGTAATTTTAGCTTGGGAATGCAAAACTTTTGGGTTTATTTCTTGGCATCGATGTAATTTTCTTCGATCTCTTATTTATACAAATTTTCCTCTCGGCTCAACCATTCATCAATCCAAATGTGTGAATTGCATTACAATAGAAATAAAATGGATCTACTTCGATCTATCGAAACTGCACATATATACTTGTATATGTATTGAAATATATGAAACACGTATACTTAGATATTGGATATTGCAAACATTTTAAATAAAATAGATATCGTGTAATGTCATATCGATAGGTATAGTTTTTTTTTTTAAGAACGTTCATCTTTACTAGCGACGGACTGGAACTTAAAAAAATAAATGAAAAAGACAGAAGGGACAAAGCATACATTCTGTGTTGTATACCTTTCCAAATATGGTATCATCATGCTTGTGATCCCTCAGAAATAGAGTCTGTATGAATGTTTTTAAACAATGAAATGCAAATGAAACAGCTGTGATGATCAAATTGAAGAGGCAGGTTGTTCTTTATATTTTCCCATTGTAGAACGAATAAAGTTTGCCATTGCTGATTACGGGTATGCAGTGTTCTCTTTGCGTGACGTCACAACAAGCTTCGTGGCGTAGCCATATTGTTTATAGGGTGACATTTGAGTGCTGCCACATCTCAGTTTCGGAGTAATTTATGTCAAAAGTTAGTTAAAATAAAAATTAACTGTTGACAGTGTTGAAATTATTGGAATGAGCGCACGATATCAGGTAGCCGTAAAGTTAATGAAAAATCAGGCAGACGTTCGACTTAAAGTTTAACGCGTCATAAACAGCGCTGCCATTTTAAGCAAGAGAGCACAATAACAAGTGACATTCACCATTTCAGCCTTTGCAGACATGTGTTCTATGTTTGTTTTATTATTTCTCCACAAAAACAAAGCATACTTGTACTTGCAAGTAGGCCTGATAAGGCAAGACAACATTCTAAAATTGTGAGGGTATATACATATGTATAAATCTATGTTTGTATATATATTTTTTAAAGTGTATTGAGCTTTTTTCTTGGGTTGTTTTTCAACTCTTTATGTAAGTGGGGATATAGCTCAGTGGTAGAGCATTCGACTGCAGATCGAGAGGTCCCCGGTTCAAACCCGGGTGTCCCCTTGATCACTTTTTTGTTGTTTTAATTCTACCTTTATTTAAATATTCATTAAATCGTGTATGGATATTAAACAGAAGAGCATGTGCAGCATTTAAAAATGCAACCAATTATTTTATTCATGACACATTTTGCCGATGGGGATTGTTGAAACCTCAAACTCAAGGTCCTAACTAAATGAGTTTTCAATTACTAGAACTAGAATATAGAACAGTTCTGGTGATAAAGTTGAAGAGGCGGGGTTTTTTTTATCAATATTTCCGCTCAAATAAAAAAAACATATGTGCCCATATACTTGTATGTTGTACGAGTATATACTTTTACTCGCATGTGGACCGATAAGGCAATACTGCATTCGAATTTGTGAGGGTGTATTAATTTTTTTGGAGAGCGATTAAAGCCTTCTTGTTGTCTTATTTTCAACTCTTTATATAAGTGGGGATATAGCTCAGTGGTAGAGCATTCGACTGCAGATCGAGAGGTCCCCGGTTCAAACCCGGGTGTCCCCTTTTTTGTCCCAAGGAGCAGCTTTTATCAATAACTGACCTCTCAGGGTCTCCCCTTCGTATGGTTGGGTACGATTATTCCACTAGTATAAATGATATTTTTCAGTTGTTTACTTACTCTGTGCACTGTCCGAGTTGGCGGATAGCAGCACAACCAGCAGGCATATACAAATGATGACCTTTAACGATCGCATTGCCTGTAAAAGAGGGTAAAATCGTTATAAAGAGGCGTTATACTGACATCGGATGTAGCGAACCTAATTAAGTATGTGTCTGTGGCACTTGTCGGTGTACAAGTAGTTGCGAAACGAGACGTCATAACGCAATGTATTTATTTCATATCGTTTTGTTTATTTGTCGGCTCGAGTGCAGCGAACAAAGTTAATAATTTCACACTGCGGTACCCACAAATATCAATTAAATGACGAGCAACGAGCGACGAGCCGAGCGATGGCATCAGTGGCACAACGTCTCGACATTGACCCAAATAGTGTGCGGCCCACCAAACATACTACTTATATGACATTGACCGAGTGAATGGCCGTTACCAACGGCTAATTACAATGGCGGTACATAATGTAAATTTATTCGGACGACCGCTCAAACAAAGTGCTTTGTTTGCACTCTGCCACCGACTTGGGGCACAGCTTCTTTTTCATAATTTATTGCGAGCAAACAGTTGTCTTCGCCGCGTCTCTTGACAGGCTTGTGAATGTTTTCCAGTTTCGGCATTAAGTCAGAGTTTGGGAAATTCGAGCAGCATGTGCACTGAAAAATTCTTTGCAAAAATCGTCCCATGTTGAATCTACAGCAAGAATCCCATTTTGTTCTCAAATTTTAAACACAAAACTGTATGCTTATACTTCTTATCTAATCAATTGTTGCTTGAACTCGAAAGCCGCAACAATGCTTTTCTATTCGCATACTAGAAACAAAGTTAACTTAAAAAGGAACTATATTCATTTTATTCGGTACACGGAACCGGCAGCACCATGTTTATGTTAGGTTGAAATGGCCGGGACGATAATGCTCGTCACTCATTTATTGCGATGCTATATAATCCATATACATGCACGCTTTATCCACCCGGAGTTGATAATGAAATTTGTTATTTTCGAAATCCAGAAATTCTGGGATAATTAGTGAGATCGTTTAGGAAGATGAATGAACATTTGCCTGCTTTGTGCAGCATGAGTGAGAAGCATGAAGGAGAGTTGATAGAAAGGATGTATGCGATAGTTTCCTCTCTTGCCAGCTCACCATATTTTCTGCAACGCAATTTCCCTGAATATATCGAT